CTTTATTATGTTAAGGTAGTTTCCTTCTATGCCCATTTTGTTCAGAGTTTTTATCATAATTGGCTGTTGGATCTTGTCAAATGCCTTCTCTGCATCTATTGAGATGATCATGTGGTTTTTATTCCTCAGTTTGTTGATGTGGTGTATCACGTTGATTGATTTGCGGATGTTGAACCATCCCTGTGTCCCTGGTATGAATCCCACCTGATCCTGATGTATGATTCTTTTGATGAATTGCTGAATTCTGGTTGCCAAAATTTTGTTTAGAATTTTTGCATCTATGTTCATCAGTGATATTGGCCTGTAGTTCTCTTTTTTCGTGGTGTCCTTGTCAGGTTTTGGTATCAGCATGATGTTGGCCTCATAGAATGTGTTAGGAAGTGTTCCATCTTCCCTAATTTTTTGGAATAGCTTGAAAAGGATAGGTATTAAATCCTCTCTGAAAGTTTGGTAGAATTCCCCAGGAAAGCCATCTGGTCCCGGGGTTTTAGTCTTTGGGATGTTTTTGATTGCTGTTTCAATCTCTTTCCTTGTGATTGGTCTGTTCAAATTGTCTGCCTCTTCTTGAGTGAGCTTTGGGAGATTGTAGGAGTCCAAGAATTTATCCATTTCCTCTAGGTTATCCATTCTGTTGGCATATAGTTTTTTGTAGTATTCTCTTATAATCTGTTGTATTTCTGCAGAGTCTGTTGTTATTTCTCCTCGCTCATTTCTGATTTTGTTTATTTGAGCTTTCTCCCTTTTTTTCTTTGTAAGTTTGGCTAGTGGTTTGTCAATTTTATTTATCTTCTCAAAAAACCAGCTCTTTGTCTCATTGATCCTTTCTACTGCCTTTTTCGTTTCAATAGTATTTATTTCTGCTCTGATTTTTATTATTTCTCTCCTTCTGCTGACTTTGGGCTTCATTTGTTCTTTTTTCTCTAGTTCAGTTAGGTGTGCTTTAAGGTTGCTTATTTGGGATTTTTCTTATTTATTAAGATGTGCCTGTATTGTGATGAGTTTTCCTCTTAATACAGCTTTTGCTGTATCCCATATAAGTTGGTATGGCATGCTATAATTTTCATTTGTTTCCAGGTATTTTTTTATTTCTTCTTTAATTTCTTCAATGATCCATTGCTTGTTCAGTAGTGTGTTGTTTAGTCTCCACATCTTTGTGCCTTTCTCAGCTTTTTTCTTGTAATTAATTTCTAGCCTTATAGCACTATGATCTGAGAAGATGCTTGTTATTATTTCAATTTTTTTAAATTTGTAGAGGCTTGCCTTGTTTCCCAACATATGGTCTATCCTAGAGAATGTTCCATGTGCACTTGAGAAGAATGTGTATTCAGCTCCTTCAGGGTGGAGTGATCTACATATGTCTATTAAGTCCAATTGTTTTAGTTTTTCATTCAGCTCCACTATTTCCTTGTTGATTTTCTGTCTTGATGATCTGTCCATTGATGTGAGTGGGGTGTTGAGGTCCCCTACTATTATTGTGTTGTTTTTAACATCTTCCTTTAGGTCTGTTAATAGGTGCTTTATGAATCTTGGTGCTCCTGTGTTGGGTGCATAGATATTTATAAGCGTTATTTCTTCTTGATGAAGTGTCCCTTTGATCATTATATATTGTCCCTCTGTGTCTCTCTTTACCTGTCTTATTTTGAAATCCACTTGGTCTGATATGAGAATTGCAACACCTGCCTTTTTTTCCTTGCTATTTGCTTGAAGTATTGTCCTCCACCCCTTCACCCTGAGTCTGTGTTTGTCCTTGGGGCTGAGGTGTGTTTCCTGGAGGCAACAAATTGTTGGATCTTGTTCTTTAATCCATTTTGCCACTCTGTGTCTTTTTATTGGAGAGTTCAATCCGTTCACATTGAGAGTGATTATTGATGCATGTGGACTTAATGCTGTCAATCTGTCGCTCATTATCTTGTTTTCCTGTGTTTCTTTTCCTGTGTGCTTTAGACTACCCATTTAATACTGCAATTTCTTATGCTGGGTTTCTTGGATTTTTCCTTATCTATGATTTGTGACTCTGTTCTGTACTTTATTTTAGTGTCTACCTTGAAGTTTGTATTTAGAATCTCGTGTATAATATAGTCTATTCTCTGGTGGTCTCTTACTTACTTGACCAATACTGATTTAGACCCTTTGCTCTTCCCCTCCTAAATAATTATTTTCATTTTTTATTCCAACTCGTCTTATTAATTTGTAGTTAGAGTGCTAAGATCGTCCTTGTTTTGGTAGTTTCCCTATTTTTACCCTAATGCTATAGTTGAATATTTGCTATCCTGTTCTGGTTCTATCCATCGGTCTCCCTAGTCTGTGGATTGTGTCCCCTTTCTCCCTTTTTTCTTTTTTCAGGTATGAGAGCCTTCTTGAGGATTTCTTGTAGTGGAGGGCTTTTAGTTACAAATTCCCTTAACTTCTGTTTGTCTGGAAAAGATTTAATTTCTCCCTCATATCTGAAGGAAATTCTTGCTGGATAGAGTATTCTTGGCTGAAGGTTTTTATCCTTTAAAGCTTTGAATATATCACTCCATTCTCTCCTAGCTTATAGGGTTTCTGTAGAGAAATCTGCTGACAGTCTGATAGGGGCTCCTTTATAGGTTATTCTCTTTTTTTTCTTACTTCCCTGAGTATTCTTTCCTTATCATTCCTATTTGCCAACTTTACTGTTATGTGTCTTGAGGTGGGTCTTTTTACATTGACAAATCGAGGAGATCTAAAACCCTCCTCTACACACATTTCTCTGTTGATCCCTAGATTTGGGAAGTTCTCTTCAATAATTTCGTTAAGCACACTTTCTGCTCCATTTTCCTTTTCCATATTCTCGGGAATTCCTATGATCCTTATGTTCTTACTCCTCATTGAATCCATTATCTCTCGGAGATTTTCCTCATTTTTTTAATTCTTAGTTCTCTTTCTTCTGCTCTCTGGCACCATTCAGCCTGTCTGTCCTCGATTATGCTGATTTTCTCCTCTATGTTGTCTACACGGGCATTCAGGGAATCCGTATTCTGTTTTATCTGGTCCACTGTGTTTTTCATCTCAAGTAATTCTGTTTGGTTCTTCTTTATGATTTCAATCTCTTTTGTGAAGTAACTCCAGAACTCGGCTTGTTTCTCTATCTTTCTCTCTACCTCATTGAGTTTTTTGATTATAGCTGCTCTGAATTCATTATCACTTAGTTTACCTAATTCCAAGTCCTCAGGACTTAATTCTGTGTTTTTATTGTTTTCCTTCTGGTCTGGGGCTTTTATAAATTGCTGGATGGTAGAGGAGCAGTTTTTTCTCACGGTGGTAGAATTCAGTTGCAGTTACAGCCTGTCGCCACTAGATGGGGGTCGAGAGCGACGTGTTAGCTCTCCACCTTGGGGCAAGATGGCTGCGCCCACTGGCTTTGTTGGGGGGGAGGGGCTGTTACTCACACGCGCTGGTCTGGGTTCAGATCAGTTCTGTTCTCTGGTCTCCCAAGGCCCTTGGTTTATGGGGTCCCCAAGGACGGAAGCTTTCCCCCCGTCAGCCGGTCTCCACTGAATCAGCAGCAGGAGTCCTGGATGATCCCCGGGTCGCGCAGCCCCTCCCCCGCTCCTTCCCGACCTGCGCCACAGCGATCGCAGACTCTAGGGGAGGGAGCAATGTTCTCTCCTACCGTTCCAGCGCCTCCGAGGCTGTAAGTAGGATTTAAGATCTCCGCCTTCTTGGTATTGTAGGTCTCTAACGAGCTGGCATTATGTTTATTCTCTGAAATTCAGTTCTTCCAATCTTTTGTTGTATTTTGGAGGGGAGAGAATCCCGGGTCAGCTCACCCCACCATTTTGCTCCGCCCACTCTCAACCACTCTTTTAAAGATGTGTATGCACTCATTAACATACAGTAAGCTATGGCATAAATTGGTATACCTTTCTGGAGCAATTTGACAAGATATATTTAAAAACTAAAAAAATGTTCATAAACCTTGAGAATGGTTCTATTTCTGGGAATTAATCCCAGGGAAGTCATCACGCATGCCCAAAAATGTATGAACAAACGGATAATCATCATAGTGTTATTTACTACAGTAAAAAAAAAATTGGAATTGACTCAAAATGTCTGAATCTGGAAGAATGATTATATAAATTATGTTACAACCACACAACTGCATGCTAAGTAGTCATTTTTTAAATCATGTTTTTGAGGACCAGCATTAGCAAATGTTCACAAAATACTGTTAAATTAAAAAAACAGTTTCAGGGGTCAGCCCGGTGGTGTAGTGGTTAAGTTCACACATTCCACTTCAGCAGCCCAGGATTCACCAGTTCAGAGACCGGGTGCAGACCTACACACCACTTGTCAAGCCATGTTGTGGTAGGCGTCTCACATATAAAATAGAGGAAGATGGGCACAGATGTTAGCTCAGGGTCAGTCTTCCTCAGCAAAAAGAGGAGGATTGGCAGCAGATGTTAGTTAATCTTCCTCCAAAAAAAAAAATAGAATTTAAAAAAAAAAACAATTTCACAAACATACAAAATCATTTATACAGTATGAAGCCATTTTAAAAAACAAATAGATATGAATTTATGTGTATATATAAATTAAAAATGGGACAGTATATTGTTTATACACAGTATGCTATATATGTATATACTAAATATACAAACTGCATACTATTTCCAAATTGGCCTAATACAATGCATAATTAAGTGTCTGCCACTGGATGGCAGGATTATAGGTAACTTCTAGTTTATTCTTTAAATGTATCTATATGTCTAATTTTCAAGAGTGAACATTACTTTACACTTAAAAGAGTAGAATTTTAAGAAGACTTCTAATTAGATGCAATATGATGACAAATGAGAGATCAATTGCCACAAGCTTTCCAAGAAATTAAGTTCATTACTTTATAGTGACATTTTATATGAAAAGCCAAGACAGTAAGACTACACATGCAAACATAATGGGGAATAAAAGTTAAAAGTAGAATAGACTGACGTAGAATTTCTTGAACCACACATGCCATTTGAAGTAGGTTCTATTACCTCCCAGCCATCTGGCTCCAAGAATTCCTTTTTTTCCGTAGCTTTCAAAAACTCTTCCAGAGTCACCAATCGGTCTTTGTTAGCATCAACCTGATTAAAGGAAAATGTATAAATAAAATAACCCTTTCGCATATTATTTAGACTCTAGAAACTGCCTTCTACTACACGCTACTAAATAAGCATACAGCCATTAGGAGTAGCCTAACATCTACAGAAACCGAGGGGAAAAAACCATGAATGGAGTACTCAATTACATTAGAATCAGAAAATAGGTATCTTTCTCTTCTATATAATTCAAATTTGAAAATACAATGAGATATCTATACACCTGATACCCCCAAAAATCACCAAGTTTGAGTCTGCTGATCTGACTAGTCAGGCCAGTACTGTCTTCCTCCCTCACTACACCACGTATACTTCCTCTGGAAGCCAAGGGTTTGGGCTAGGAAAAAAACCTTTCCAGAAAGAGGACTGTTTTAGCCAAGAGTCAGAGTTCAAGTTAAAATGCTGTCAATATCTTTTCTTAAAAACAAACAACTAACTAAATCAAAACTAAGGTTGACAATCTCTCCAAATTCTCTTCAATGGCTCTTATACACTATGGTAAATTCAGTGACAAAGGTGAACTCTATAATGGCCAAAGAAATTTATTTGATGCATAGGATGCCAGCAGTCAACAAAGATCCCAATTCATCATTAACAGCTCAAATAGGTGAAAATCACCACAGCAAAACAATGGGCTTTAGTCACTCTGCCGATAATGTCTATATCAGTTTTAACCTTAGTAATGTGAACAAGAAATAGATATTTATTGTTATAAACCATTAATGATACCGACCCTGATATTAGTTTCCCCACATTAAACCCAGCATATATGGGGTTAAAACCAAAACACTCATTCCCTGCTTACTCTCTGGCTTCCTGCCTCCAAAATCCACTATCCTCCATGGAGACAGACATCACCAAGGACAAGCACCTGGATTATCTCCTCCCCAAAAGAGATACAGGCTGGTGGGGAAGCTGCTGACCAGCAAGGTCATGGGCTCCCTCCTCTCTGCAAGTGTCTCAAGGCCAAAGACAGACTGGTGGGAAAGCTCCAACCACCAAGGCCATATGCTCCCCCTCCCCTACCTAAAACCCCAAATAAAAATCCTTCCTTTTAGCTTTTTGGGGAGTTTGGGATTTCAGCGTTAGCTGCCCTCTCTCCTTGCTCAGCGCTGTGCAAAAATAAAATTCGTACTTTCTTCCACCACACCCGGTGTCAGAGATTGGCTTGCTGCACAACGGGTGAGCGAACTCACTTCAGGTTCGGTATCATTAAGGTATTGGGTTTTTTGGATTTTCTCGGAAAAAACTAAAATATGAAATATTGGACTGCATTATTTTTCACTTCTAAAAGAATTTTTATAGCTGATAGGAGCAGCATCTTAATCTCTTAAAATATTTTAAAGTAGTTATAAATTATTTTATCAACACTAAGGGAATCTACTGAATATTCTGGATCAAAAATGCAAAATCTAATTAGATGCCTATTCTGTATATTTCTTTTCCATCCTATGGTAAGATTCATTGAAAGAACTTGAAGAATCTATAGAGGTTAACATATATTGTTAAACTTTTAAAACATACCTCATTCATTACATGTTCTCTCATTCTAAGCCTTTCTTCCTCCATTTCTACCATATCATCCTCTTCATTTTTTGGGTCATATACTTTCTCCAACTAAAAAGAAAATTTTAAAACCAACATAAAAGAAAGGAAGATAATAGAAGGAAAAAGAGAACAAAAACACTGAATACTTAATGAACTCACATACCTCTTTAGTAAATAAGGCTTCTAATTCTTGTTCATCTAGGAAGCCATCACTATTGACATCTAAAGTTTAAAAGTTACAAATGCAAAAATTGATTTTAATGCCTTAGAAAATAAATAATAAAAATACAACTATTGACAAACAGCTTGCAAACGTAGCACTGACACAAAGCATCAATATCCTACAGAAAAAGGTTTCTTCTTTTTCTGAAGCCTCAGATCAGTCCAACTGATAACAATTCACTACTTATTTATAATTCATTACAGTTGGTTAAGAAAATATATCTTAACGAATTTTTTTCCAAAAATATAAAATAAAATAATACACTATAAGAATAAAAGCAAATTTTAACATCATAGCATAAAGCCTGTTAGATATAATCTAGCTAGTCACAGAGATACCATCAGTTTACAGAGAACCTTGCATTAAGTCACATAATGAACCAAAAGTAAAAGCAGACACAGCTACTGATCTAAAATATTTTATACTGCAGACCAACAATAAAGACTATTACATTACTAGAGAAAAACTCTAAACATTTACTATCAACAGGACTCAATAGCAGACCCTGGCAGAAATCAATTAAGAGTAAAGCAACCATAATTTTTCAAACAGCAGATAATAAATATTAATATTTGTATCAAATCTGTTACCATGTAGTTTGAAAAATGTCTTGGGGTCAAAGTCATTAGGATCCAATCCATCAGTCTCTTCCCATACCTCTTTTAGTTGATCTTTGCTTCCCTGTGAATCAATTTTTAAAAAACACTCAAAACAAAATATAATCTAAAGTGTATATACCCAAAATAAAATATAAATTTGAGAAATTTCACAGAATTAAGAATCAAGATTTAAGTACTAGTAATTTATGATAAAATTCTACTATCTGATACAAAGAAGTATCTTCACCTAACTATGGTTTCATAAAGTCTTAATCCTTACTGGATGATTAACTTTGGGATGATTTTCATGCTTTTTCTTCATTTCTTCAAATTTAGATTCTTCTTCTTTTCTCTTTTCTTCATTCAGTGTTTTTAAATATTCTCTCCTTTCATGTTCCTTCATCATTTCATATTTTTTAAATTCTTCATGTCGAGTTTTATCATAGTGTTCCAGATCACTTGTAGCCTATAATGCAATATTTAAATCAAATAAAAAGATGTGTTTGAAAAACATAAATAAAGTCTTTCTTGCATATAGCATACTCTCTAACAGAGGCAGTATAGGAAGGCCAAAACATACTGGACTCCTTTTTAAAATTCTACTATTTTACTTTAGTCATTATTATTACCAGGGATGTAGGCATTCAAAGAAACTAAAAGCTAAAAGCTAGCTTCAACTTTAGGAAGTTTCTCACAAGCAAGTAAAACATAAATTGATTTTGAAAAGAAGAAGAAGAAGAAAAATGAAGGGACTGTATCAAATTTGTACAGCATAGCAAACTAGAATGGTTTCTAACCACTTGACCAAATCTAATAACACCCAGGCTCAAACATCTAGTTTGGTAGCTCCACACAGTACAACATGAGAGGTCTATAAGCTCTCATCTAAAATCCCTGAGACCAGATGTGTTTCAAAATTTTCTGTATTTTAGAAAGGGAGTATGGCATATATGACGTATTACACAATATCCCTGCAGAGTCTGTAATCAAACAGATGAGTACTTCCTTAGCAAAAATCTATGAATACGCACACTAGGCTAAACAAAAACTATAAATAGCCTTACTATAATTCAAGCCAGGTTTCAGTTTTCACAGTGTTTTGGATTTTGGTATTGTGAGTAAGGGATTACAGACCTGTATACCCACACGATTATCTGTCCTAATAAGGGTTGAGCTATCTCCCTTTAAAGATATCCGAGAGAGCATATAAAAGTTATATTACCACTTCATTGAATTTACTTGTCGAATTGCAAAGCCTCAAAGGCACAACAAAGACAACACTTTTTGGAATTATTCTTACCGCTTTGATTAACATATCCAAATCTGTAGATTCAAACTTTTCAGGATTTAGGTGGTTTAGGTGATCAAATTGTTTTAGAAGAGCATGGTGGTCTATTCCTGTATCTGAAAGAAAATGAGAAAACTGTAACTGATCAATTACTAGAAGCTAGAAACATTAATATAGATGGTACAGTAAGAATAAGCATTCACAGATTTAACGAAGGAGGTGAAAGACCTATACAATGAAAACTATAAAACATTATTGAAAGAAATTGATGACGACATAAAGAAATGGAAAGATATTCCTTGCTCATGGATTGGAAGAATGAACTTAGTTAAAATGTCCATACTACCTAAAGCAATCTATAGATTCAATGCAATCCCTATCAGAATCCCAATGACATTCTTCACAGAAATAGAACAAAAGATCCTAAAATTCACATGAGGCAGCAAAATACCCCAAATAGCTAAAGCAATCCTGAGAAAAAAGAACAAAGCTGGAGGCATCACAATCCCTGACTTCAAAATATACCACAAAGCTATAGTAATCAAAACAGCATGGTACCAGTGCAAAAACAGACACACAAATCAATGGAACAGAATTGAAAGCCCAGAAATAAAACCACACACCTATGGACAGCTAATCTTCAACAAAGGAGTTAAGAACATGCAATGGAGAAAGGAAAGCCTCTTGAAAAAACAGTGTTAGCAAAACTGGACGGCCAAAAGAATGAAAGTAGACCATTATCTTTCACCATACACAAAAATTAACTCAAAATGGATCAAAGACTTGAAGGTAAGACCTGAAATCATACAACTCCTAGAAGAAAATATAGGCAGTACACTCTTTCACATCAGGCTTAGAAGGATCTTTTCAAATACGATGTCTACTCAGACAAGGGAAACAAAGAATAACTAAACAAGTAGGACTTCATCAGACTAAAGAGCTTGTGCAAAGCAAAGGAAACCAGGAACAAAATGAAAAGACAACACACCAACTAGGAGAAGATATTTGCCAATCATATATCTGACAAGGGGTTAATCTCCAAAATATATAAAGAACCCATACAACTCAACAACAAGAAAACAAACAACCTGATCAAAAAATGGGCAGAGGATATGAACCGGCAGTTTTCCAGAGAAGACATACGGATGGTCAATAGGCACATGAAAAGATGTTCAATATACTAATCATCAGGGAAATCCAAATCAAAACGACATTGAGATATCGCCTTACACCTGTCAGAATGGCTATAATCACCAACAAAAAAATAACAAATGTTGGCAAGGATATGGAGAAAAGAGAACCCTCATACACTGCTGGTGGGAATGCAAACTGGTGAGCCACTATGGAAAACAGTATGGAGATTTCTCAAAAAATTAAAAATAGAAATACCATATGACCCAGCTATCCCACTACTGGGTATTTATCTAAAGAACTGGAAATCAACAATTCAAAGAGACTTATGCACCCCTATGTTCATTGCAGCATTGTTCACAATAGCCAAGACGTGGAAGCAACCCAAGTGCCCATCGACTGAAGAATGGATAAAGAAGATGTGGTATACACACACACACACACACACACACACACACACACACACACACACACACAATGGAATATTACTCAGCCATTAAAAAAGACAAAATCATCCCATTTGCAACAACATGGATGGACCGTGAGAGTATTACGTTAAGCAAAATAAGCCAGACAGAGAAAGACAAACACCATATGATTTCACTCATATATGGAAGATAAACACATGGACAAAGAGAACAGATTAGTGGTTACCAGAGGGGAAGGGGGTTGGGGGTTAGGCATAAGGGGTAAAGGGGCACATATGTATGGTGACTGACAAATAATAACGTACAACTGAAATTTCACAATGTTATAAACTATTATGATCTCAATAAAATAAAATGTAAAAAAAACCAAGCGGCTTTAACAAGAAAAAAAATGAGCATTCACATTTATTCCTGTGGGGGGATTTTATAAGAAAAGTCAAAGTTTTAGATTATAATCTAAGTGTTCATATTTTCTTTTAGAATATTGTACATATCATTATTTTAGGCAAAGGTAATGTCTTTGAATCTAGAATGGAATACAATGTAATACGTACATTTTTATGTTATTTCTAAAAGACCAGTTGACTATCAGTACACTAACAGTAAAAAAATTTTTGCTATTGTAAAACTACCAAATTTCCTACTTTTAATTAGATAAACTATAATATACTGCCTTCATCAAAGGTCTAAGTAGAATTTCTAAAAAGAATTGCTCTAAAATTTATGTGAATTTTTTGAATGCTGATCCAGTGAATCCTTTATGGAACAATAAAAATCTAATTCAGGTAAATTCATTTGAATTATGACTTATTTTTAAAGAAACATCAATTGTTTTTCTTTGTAAAGAATTTTTAAAAACAAGCTACAGTTTATTGTAGTTGAATGGGTAAAGTGATTCTGGACTATTTCAGTTGTATGACAGAAATGAGCAAAATAGTACATATGTTGATGTTGTTAGAAGTCAGGGTTCTCACTTAGGAAAAAGGAATATACAAATATGAAATAATGGAAGGTAAGAAAGCAAGCTGTGGAAATGGACGGGAATTAGTGCTATCTGTGTGAACTTATTATTTCTAAAATATGTACATGTATATGCATGTATGTTTCATGTGTATACGTATGTATAGTATACACATATATACATCAACGTATGTGCATGTATGTATATGTGTACAGACGCATACAGATGTGTACAAATGCATATACATATGCATATATATTTCCAACCTCTATCCAATGAAAGTACCTTGAAGAAAATATATTCCAGAAGCAATAAGTACACCTAGTACCAGCTTGCTGGTCTGTGATATTATTCGCCATTAAAAAGAACCAAGAATCCTCAGAGAAATGGCTGATTTCAGGGCTGCAGTAGGATAGGTATAAGATGAGCCTGGCACATTTTGTTATGCCAGAAAGTAAGAAACTGCTAGATTTAGTTCAACTAAGCTTTCACTGAATTCTTAGTCGAGCACTGTACTAGTTTTACTTACGAAGAAAAGATTTGTTATAAGACCCAGCCTTAAAGGATATGACCAGACAATGAAATATATAAATGGATGCTTAACCTTACTCAAAACAAGAGAAATACATATTAAAACTGCACTATTACACCATCTAACAGAATGGCAAAACTCGTAGAGTTTGAAGATACATAGCGTCAGCAAGGCTGTGAGAAATCATCGCTGGTGGGACTGTGCATTGGTACAATAGTGGTGGAGATGGCAGCATCTATCAAAATTACAAATACATATATCTTCTGGTTTAACAACTTTACCATGGGAAATCTATCCTAGAGATAATCCTATATGACTACATAGCAATATATGTACAAGAGACTTCACTAGAAATAACCCAAATGTCCATCAACAGGGGCCTGGTTAAATAAATTACGGTATATCCATATAATAGAAATCTACATAGCTGTTAAAAAAAAAAAAAATGAAGATGGTCTCTGTGTACTAACACAGAAAGATCTCCAAAATGTATTGTTAAAAGAAAAATACAAGGCACAAAATGTATATTGTATGCTATCTTTTGTATAAAAAGAGAGGAAAAATATGAACCTTTATTGGTATTTGCTTATATAAGAACAAAGAAACCCAGGGGCCAGCCCCGTGGCAGAGTGGTTGGGTTTGTGTGCTCTGCTTTGGCGGTCCAGGGTTTCACAGGTTCAGATCCTGGGCGAGGACCTACCACCACTCATCAAGCCATGATGAGGCATCGTCCCACATGCCACAACTAGAAGGACCCACAACTAAAAATATACACAACTACGTACCAGGGAGCTTTAGGGAGAAGAAGGAAAAATTCTAAAAGAAAACTTAAAAAAAAAAAAAGGAAACCCAGAAAAGATAGGTGTTAGGGGGCAATGGGCACTGACAGGCTACAAAAATATCCAGGAGCTTTTTGCTTATACCTTCTTATATGTTCTGGTTTTAAACCATGTGAATATATTACCTACTTTAAAAAATCATACCAAAAAAAATTAAGACCCTTTAAGCCTTTCTCCAAATTATGAGAAATTTCAATTCATAAATTGAATCAATGAGAAAATATTTGTAAGTTTTCTAAGCAAATCAGACTGTTTTCTTTAGATAATGAAATTCACCTGCTATCTTGGAACAAAGAAAATATTGCTAAGATTGAGGGATGGAGGTTATCTAAGGGGAAAAAAAATCTCACAACACCTTGGACCTGGCTTCAAGGATGGAATCACCTTGTGTGTCTGACCACCTGAAGTAGTATGGGATGAGCTCATTTTACCCCTCATTGACATCCTTAATTTCAGGATAAGGAGTATTTGGTTCTTGTTTTTAAGTCTATTCACCAGCAGGGAGCTTAATGCTCTGCACAAGCATTTCTCCAACGTGATTTCATTGACCAGAGGTATATGTCTAAAATGCAGATTACTAATCCCCAGAATCAGAATATCTGGAGGTGAGAACCAGTCATCTGCATTTTTAACTAGCTCCCAGGTGATTCTTATGCAAGCTGAAGTTCAAGAACTACCCTTCCACCATGAATGAATGTTCAGATGTTCACTAATGACAATGAATCACCCACACAACCAACCTATGCGGCAAGTCACAAGGACACAGGAGCCAGCCTGGAGGATCTCCCACGTGCCAAATCTGGCCCCTTAATTTTGATTCATAACTAGAAAGGCCATTCCAAGATAATAAAGGAATTCACCTATGTTGTCACCTAGTGCTTTTATAGTTTTATTTTCTACACTTAAATCTCTGATTTGTTTGCACTTATCTTGATGCATATGAGATAGATCTAACTGTACTTTTTTCCAAATGGCTACCCAATTGTACCAACACTATTTATATTTTTTAAAAATCTATCTTTATCCCACTAATAATGAGATACCACCTTTAATGTAAACTAAATTCTACATATATTTAATTTTACTTCTGGAATTTCTATTCTGTTCCACTGGTCTTTCTACTTATACCAAAACCACACAGTTCTAACGACTGAGGTTTAGTGATATATTTTAATATCTAATATATCTAGTCCTTTTTCCTTGTTCTTTTTTCTTCTGAGGTATGTAGCTTTCCTTGCTTGTTTCCTTTTTTCATATGAACTTTAAAAGTAACTTGGGGGCCATCCCGGTGGCATATAGTAATTAGGTTTAAGCACTCCACTTTGGTGGCCCAGGGTTCGTGGGTTTGGATCCTAAGCACAGACCTACACACTGTTCATCAAGCCACACTGTGGCAGCGTCCCACATACAAAATAGAGGAAGACTAGCACAGATGTTAGCTCAGGACAATCTTCCTCAAGCCAAAAGAGGAAGATTGGCAACAGATGTTAGCTCAGGGACAATCTTCCTCACCAAAAAAAAAAAAAAAAAAACATAACTTGGCTAGTACCAGAAGAAAGTACATATTTTTATTTGGATCATGTTTTGTTTTGTTTTGTTTCTTGAGGAAGATTAGCCTTGAGCTAACATCCATGCCCATCTTCCTCTATTTTATACGTGGGACACCTGCCACAGCATGGCTTGATAAGCAGTGCATAGGTCCCCACCCGAGATCTGAACCGGCTGCCAACGCAGAACATGCAAACTAAACCATTGTGCCACCGGGGCAGCCCCATGAATCACGTTAAACTTATAAATGCACCTAGGGAAAAGTGACATGTTCATAATGTTGAGTCTTTGTATCAAAAAGATGTTGTGTCTTTCCACTTTTTTTCAAGTCTGCTTTTGTGTCCTTCAGAAGTGTTTTAAAGTATTTGTGTTAAAGTCTTGCACATTTCTTAATAGTTTTATTCTAGGTATTTTATCTTTCTTGGTATTACAAATGGAGTCTTTTCTTCCATTCTATCTTCTAACTGGCTATTGTTTGTACATATGAAAAATATTGGTTTCTGTATATTAAGTTTATCTTGCTGAATTTTCCCATTGTTTATACTAAGTTTTTCAGTCAATTACTTTGGGTTTTCTAGGTATAAAACCATATCATCTGCAAATAGAGATGGTTTTATCACCTCCTTTCCAATTACTTTATCTTCAGTTTTTTTCATTTGTACAATTGCTTTGGCTAGTACCTCCAGTACAATGTTAATTACTACTGGTGACAGCGCGTATCCTTGCCTTGTTCCTGATTTCAGTTCGAATACGTACTTCTGTTTCCCCATGAAGCATGATACAGCTGAATTGGACATATCTGATCATGTCACAGAAGTATCTACTGATTACTATTTTATTACTTTTTTAAAATTAAGAATGGATGTTAACTTTTGTCAAATGCCTTTTCCATACATATGGAGATGATCATAAAGATTACTTTCTTTAAGATATCTTCTCATTTCAAAAATTCTACCTCATAACTATTTAATCTTCTCATAGTCTGGAAGTAAAAGAATATGGAGGATGAACGGAAGAGCACAGAGGATTTTTAGGGCAGTGAAACTACCGTGTATGATAATATAACGGCAGACACAGGTCACCGTAAATTTGTCTAAACCCATAGAAATGTAAACCATGGACTTCACATGATTACGATGTGTCAGTGTAGGTTCACTGGTTGTAACAAATGCACCCCTCTGGTGGAAGATGTTGGTAATGGGGGAGGCTACGCATATTTGGGGGCAGGGGATATATGGGAAATCTCTGTACTTTCTCCTCAATTTTGCTGTGAATCTTGTATTGCTCTAAAAAAAAATAGCCTTAATTTAAAATAATACAAGTTTCAAAGACTTATTCTAATTTATCATTTGTCCTTTGATTCTATGATTTCCTTCGCCACATCAAAATTTTTTTCTTCTTATTTCTATTCATATGATGATTTACAGTACCAGGTTTCCTAATATTAAGTCAATCTTGCATTTCTGAAATAAATCCACTTGCTATGATACAGTATTTTTTGACGTACGATAATTTTGGTTTTGGCATCAATACATAATATGAGTGTGGAAGCTTTCCTCTTTCTCTACGCCTGGAATAGTTTTAAAAGCATTGATAATCTGCTCTTTAATGGTTTGACAGAATTCCCTTTGACACTGTCTGGGCCTGGGCTTTTTGTTTTCTTGAAGAAGATTAGCCCTGAGCTAACATCTGCTGCCAATCCTTCTTTTTGCTGAGGAAGACTGGCCCTGAGCTAACATCCGTGCCAATCTTCCTCTACTTTATACATGGGGCACCTGCCACAGCATGGCTTGACAAGTGGTGCATAGGTCCACACCTGAGATCCAAACCAGTGAACCCTGGGCCACCGAAGCAGAATGTGGGAACTTAACCACTGTACCACTGGGCTGGCCCCTGGGCCTGGGGTTTTTAGTGGAGCCAGCTCTCTGACGATTTTTCTGTTTCATCTATGGGAATTGTTCTAATAAGATTTTCTCTCTGCTTTCTTTTGGTTTGCTTTGATGTTATTTTTCATCTTTTAAATCAGTGGCTTAATTCATTACTTTTCATTCTTCCTTTTCATTGATATAATTATTTAAGGCTAATCATTTTGACTTTCAAATGATGTGACTATATTACCTATTCAAAAATTTAAATTTTAAAAATTAAGAGAAGCCAAATCAATACAGTCCTGTGCCACATAATGACGTTTCAGTCAATGATGGTCTGCACATATGATGGTGGTCCCATAAAATTAGTACCATATAGACTAGGTGTGTAGCAGGCTATACCATCTAGGTTTGTGTGAGGACACTCTATGATGTCTACACAGTGATGAAACCGCCTAATGATGCATTTCTCAGATTGCATCCCCACCGTTAAGCAACACATGACTCCACTAACATTAAATTTTGACTACAAGTACATGGCATGTGCTAATGGAAACTGATCTTAACAACCAAATATTGAAATTTTCCTACCTTTTATTTAGCACTTACCTTGATGGGAATCCAATTTAGCTTTAATTAGCATTCTTAACCTTGCTACTTCTTGCCTTTTTAGTTCATCAAGTTTTGTTCTCACATGGTGACTTACTAAGTCCAGCTCTTTGCTTAGCCTCCCACTCTGTTAACAAGATTAATAATTTTATCTATTACATTACATCTTTAGACCAGATACACTATATTAAAAATAGGGTTATAATACAGTAGTGATAAATACTTTTGACTAATTTAGATAAATTTGACATTACAAGTAGAATCTCTTTCAGAAGAGATTCAGTTTGTAATTCTAAAATCAAGATGTCTAAAAACCATAAAATTTAGAAAAGCATAATTAAAGCACAAAGGAGAAACTCAAAAAGTAACTCGAATTGTAAAATGGTACAGCCACTTTGGAAACAACTTGGCAGTTCCTCAAAAAGTTAAACACAGAGGTACACATGACCCAGCAATTCCATTCCTAGGTATATACCTAAAGAATTGAAACATATGTTCCCATAAAAACTTGTAAATGAATGTTCATGGCAGCATTATTCATACTAGCCAAAAATGTAGAGGAAGCAACCCAAATGTCCACCGACTGATGAATTGATAAAATATGGACTATCCATAAAGTGGAATATTATTCAGCCATAAAAGGGAATGAATATACTGAGACATGCTATAACACGATGAACCTTGAAAACATTATGCTGCCAGAGAAGCCACACACAAAGGCCCCATATTATAGGACTCCATTTATATGAAATGTCCAGCATAGGCAAATCCATGGAGATAGCAAGTGGATCACCGGTTGCCAGGGGCTGAGGAGGTGGTGGAAATGGGAAGTGACTGTTTAATGGGTACAGGACTTCTTTTGGGGGTAATGAAATTATTCTAAAAGTAGATAGTGGCAATGGTTACGTGACTCTGTGGATATACTAAAAACCACTGAATTGTATGCCTTCAAGGGGCAAATTTTGTGGCATATGAGCTATATTTCAAAAATTTTTTAAAAAATAACTTGGCCTCCATAAGCTTTAGTCATTCCATATATAAATAATTTTTCAAAACTCATCTTTTTTAGGTTGTCTCCTTTGAGTACTTTTTTCATAAAGAAGTAATGAGATACATGTTTCAAAATTTAAGAAATAAAATAGCTTGTGGTTTACTTCCTCTTGTTTACAAATGTGTTTGTAATCACAAGTTGCAAGTCTAACAAGCAATTAGGCAGACAAACCTTTTAGGACCGAGTCAATGGGGTCTGCTGACGAACGTAAGAAAAAGAAACCCCACAAGGAGACCAAGAAAGAATGTTCAGAGAGGGAGAAGAACAGGAGAATACGCTGTTATAGGAGCAGAAAGAGTAGCATATTTCAAGGAGACAACAGTCATTACCATCAGATGAAACAATGGTTCTCGAAGTGTGGTCCCAAGTGGAAGCATCAGCATGACCTGGGAACTTTAGAAATGCAGGCCCTAGACTGACTGAATCAGCAACTCCAGAGGTGGGGCCCAGAAATCTGCTTGAACAAGCCCTAAAATCTGAGAACTACTGGGATGAAATAAAGGAGTCCAGTAAGAAGAGGAATAAGAAGCATGTACTGAGTTTGGCAATTAAGAAGTCACGGACACCCTCCGCGAAAGCACATCTTTCCACTGCACAACGCTGGGGAAGTAAAGACATGTAGGAAGACTCCCCCTTCAAAATGCTTGGCTGAAAAGGAAAGGACAAATTCTAACCATTTTTTCCCAGTTTTTCCTGAGACCAGAGTTTTTGCTGAGCTGTTTGTAGTGATTCTGTTAGCTTGGGTTTTATTATCTGTTTTTACTCTTATTTCTTTTTCATTTATGTGCAAAGAATAACTGTTGAGTCACTGAATAACTGTCACTGAATAACTGTTTGACTTACTTCATTTTCACTCTCTGACGTCCCTCAATAGGGAACAGGAACTGATTGGGAGGGGAAGACAATTACAGAATATTCCCGACACCAAGCCAGGAAGCTTGCTGCTTCCTCTACCCAGGTTATCTCAGGATAGGACCTCCCGTTATCCACATTTTCCGTTACCCCCAAATAATGCTCTTAGTCCTAATTTAAGTAGATAAGAGACACTGAAAGTTCTACATTAAATATCACTCACCCCAGGAAATTAGCTCCACAGGTCAAATTAATTCTTCAAAGAAAGCACAAGATTATTCTCAAGACAATTTGGGGGAATTACTGCCTTAGCGCTGCTGGCTTTCCCCGGGACAGTTCACAGCCTCCTGGAGGAGAATGTGAACTAAAAGCCACACGCAGGCTCTGAGAGTGGCCCAGCCTGACGCCGGTCAGTCTTTCAAAGGAACCCACCAGGGACAGTGACAAAAATAAGAAGGATATTTGACCAAGAAAGGTTCTTTCAAACAAAGTTCTCTGATTCTAGAAACAGGCAAGATCATTTTTTAGGAAAGTTAAAAACAAATAAATAAATAGAAATAAGTAAACAAACAAAACTATCTTGAGAGATATAACTGAAAGTTTAAAACGAAATCGTTGAAAATTTTCTTTATTCTCCGACTCTAAGATAAACCCAACTAAACTGATTCACTGCCCTTCGAGGATGGGCTTCAAAAGAATTTCTCGTGTCAGATCTTACAACTCCCTTTCTTTATTACGAGTACTAAGGAGATGTCCAGGGCTAGGATTATGTCTGATAAGGTTCTTAGGACTGAGGCAAATAGTTAAACCTCCCCTATTGACGTAAGAGATGTCCCATTACCTCTTCTATTAATCCGGACCTGATTAAAACACCAGAACTTAACCTATTCTAAACCTTTGAATAGCTCCCTGCTGTCCTCACATCATGATGGAAGCCCCTTAACATGATGTAAAAGGCCCTCCATCATCTAGCCCATGACTCTTTCCAACCTCGTCATTTAGCCAATCATTGCCTCCACTTCCCACTTTAGGTTCCAGCAACAATTACTATCTCCAGTTTGCTATATATCTCCTGTCTCCATACTCGTGCACCTTTGCGTGGGATGCCTTCCAGTCTCTCTCCTTTTCTCGGTCACATCTTTAAGCAGTGGCATAATCTCCACCAGGAAAAATGCCTTCCCGCTTCCCCCATGGCTTGATACTGAATTCTATGTTCATCCTCCGTATCTCCAAAATATATTACACACTCATCATATGTGCTTTTTATTAATCTTTTTCTGGACATTGTTCTCCCTTGAGGGTTCTTTAAGGGTTGGGAAGGCGTCTCATCTTTGTATCCTCAGTACTTAGTTCGGTGTCTGGCATGCTCAAATGTTTGTTAAATAATTATTTAATTACATTTACCTTTATTTCCTCTATATCTGCTTTCTGGAGCTTTTCTCTGAAATGATTATCTGTTTCCAGCACATCAATCACTTGCTTGAGATATTCATCATAATAAAGTCCAGTATCCTTCAAATAAAGAAACAGACAATAATGCTTCTGAAAGTTTTTCCTTCCCTGCATCTAAAGATCTCAATCCTAAAAAAAAAAAAGGTTTAGCAAAATGGCACTGAGACATAGCTACTTTGATAGTTTAGACAAAGTTAAAAAGTTGTATTTTTTCTTCCTTTTTTTTTTTGGTGAGGAAGATTGTCCCTGAGCTAATATCTGTGCCAATTTTCCTCTACTGTATATATGGGATGCCACCAGACCATGGCCTGATGAGCAGTGTGTAGGTCCACGCCAGGATCCAAACCTGTGAACCCTGGGTCCGCAGAAGCAGAGCACGTGAACTTAACCACTACGCCACCACGCTAGCCCCAAAAAACTGTATTTCCTTTTTTTTTTTAAAGATTTTATTTTTTTCCTTCTTCTCCCCAAAACCCCCCAGTATATAGTTGTATATTTTTTAGTTGTGGGTCTTTCTAGTTGTGGCACGTGGAATGCCACCTCAGCATGGCCTGACCAGCAGTGCCGTGTCTGTGCCCAGAATCCAAACCAGCAAAACCCTGGGCTGCTGAAGCAGAGTGTGCAAACTTAACCACTCGGCCACAGGGCCGGCCCCTGCATTTCTTAAGTGAAGAGTTTTGTATCAGAACCAATACCATATTTTACTGTTACATAAAGGCAGACTTTCTATATGGCTTAGACAATGAAGACTTAAGCAATAATATTAATTGCTTTTACCATATTGCCACCTGTCTCTCCTCATTGCTATCTGTCTCTCCTTTGAATATAATACCATGTTTTCTTGGCTGGTTAGCTCTACACTGGAATTGAATTATGATTAATTCTTCTACGCACTACCTAATACTAACTACATTAAATTAACATTGTCTAACATTAACCAATACATGCTTATTCAATACACTTTTCACTGATATTTCAGGAATAGTTTCTAAATGTCCAATTTTATAAGTAAGAAATATTAGCAACATTTTAGTTAAAATTCTCCCCACAAGGTTTTCTTTATCGTTTCACTTACAGGTGCTTCTATCTTTGCGCTCTCCACAGGTTGAGTATGTTTTACTTTTGTCTTGTCTATGTCTATAGGCACGGCTTCAAGAGCAGTAAGTAGACAAGTAACCAAGAAAAAATAATATCGTAGTAGGATGGTCCTCCACCTCATCTGAAATAAAGGTATAATTATAGTAGGTCCTGAAAAGATGTTTTCAAACTACATATACATGCATTCTCGATGTCACATCAATAATATCTTCAATTTCAGGAAGTTTAATACAACAAAAGAATTTTAGAAAAAAGGTTAAAAATAGATTATAGCTTATCAAAAATAATGCTTAAAATAGATCACTAAAGAAAATCAGGACAGAAATGCTTTTCAGCTAAAATTAAAAAGACAAGGAAACAAAATTTTAAAGTTTAAACTGCTTAGGTACTATAAGAAAACATGTGGTTAATTTAAAAACGTTCATACAAAGACGGTGATGAGGGACTCAAAACTTAAAAAAATAAATAGCCCAGGCTTAAGAAATGGAGAAGTAAAGAAAAACTATATATTTTTTCTCAATTACAATACCAGAGAGTCAAAATTATTTCTTGATATGATACTTAACTTAGCTTCAACCTAATTTTGAAAATAAGTTGCTGTATGAACATAAGTTGATTAAAAAAGCCGAACAGCTAGCTACAAATCTTCTCTTTACCTTACCAAACATTATTTTATCATGACCAATAGTCATTTGCTAAAAGTCTTTTTAGTCAATAATTTTTCAAATAAATAGGTCAATAAAATATCCAGCAGGATATAACAGGGTTGAAACAGAAAGAGGAGCAACTAGTGCTGGTCCCACAATCTCAGTCAAATTTTCCTTATTCAAACAGTTTCTATTTCATGAGGATCCTAGCACCTCGGGAGGATCGACTACAAGAATTAGAATGAATAAAAATCTCATATTTAATTGATTTTACACATAGACTCATGTTAGGGTCCAAGTCAAGAACCACAGTCTGACCATCAATTTGGAGCATGCATTATTCGACTCAGAGTCTCCCAAACTTAGCTGGCCATGAACTTTTTTTTTTTTAAGTAACGTGTTTTTCTCCACAGAACACAATTTGGAAAAGCATACATTGCCTCATTCTTACCACAACCCTGGGTAGTACACAGGGCAGTGACTCATTTTACAGATGAAGAAACTTTTAGTTATACCAGTTCACTCACAGAGCATTGTCTTGCATTAACAAAATCACTAGAACTCACATTTTAGTGCTACTTCTTGTAAAGCTATTTTTTTAAATAAAGCCTTCTTTGCTCTTACATGGCAGGAAAGGTCCGGGTTTTTTTTTTTAGATTGGCCCTGCGCTAACATCTGCTGCCAATCTTTTTTTTCCCTCTCCGTCTCCCCAAAGTCCCCCAGCACATAGTTATATATTCTAGTTGTGGGTCCTTCTAGTTGTGGCATGTGGGATGCTGCTTCAGCATGGCTTGATGAGCGGTGCCATGTCCGCACCCAGGATCTGAACCAGTGAAACCCTGGGCCACTGAAGCGAAGTGTGGGAACTTAACCACTCAGCCATGGGGCTGGCCCCTAGGAAAGCAAAATTTTTAGCACCTTTATTGATATATAATTCACATGCCATAAAATTCACCTATTTAAGGCATAGGATTTGTTGACTCTGTAAAGATGGACACTTGGGTTGTTTCTACAGTTTTGGCTAGTATGAATAATGCTTCTATGAACATTTGTGTTCAAGTTGTGCTAATGCTTTCAATTCTTTCAGTTATACACACAGGAGAAGAACTGTTGTGTCAATTTGGTAACTCCACGTTTAACTTTTTGAGGAACCACCAAACTATTTTCCATAGAAGCTGTACCATTTTACACTCCTACCAGCAATATGTGAGGGCTCCAATTTCTCCACATCCTCACCAATACGTGTTATTGTCTATCTTTCTTATTACAGCCACCCTACTGGGTAAGAAGTGCTATTCACGGTAATTTTGATTTACATTTCATTGGCTAATGATGTTGAGTGTCTTTTCACGTATGTATTAGCTATACTTTTTCCTTTTACTTTTTAATTAATAAAAAGTAGCATTGAGTTAGTTGTTATTTATTTATTTATTTATTTTGGTGAGGAAGATTGGCCCTGAGGTAACATCTGTTGTCAATCTTCCTCTTTTTGCTTGAGGAAGATTGCCTTTGAGCTAACATTTGTGCCACTCTTCCTCTGTTTTGTATGTGGGACGCTGCCACAGCATGGCCTGACAAGTGGTGTGCAGGTCCACAACTGGGATCAGAACCTGTGAAACCAGGGCCACGGAAGCAGAGCACGTGAACTTAACCACTACCCCATGAGGCCAGCCCCAAGTTAGTTGTTTTTTCAAAAGTTCTGAATTGAAACTTTTGTTCATCTTTGCAAGTCCCATGTCCCACTGTGAACAACCTGACCAAATGGCCATTAAAAAGGATAAAAGTTTTAAGTATAGTCATGGCTGAAAAGCCCAAGCAATGACTTAACTGGTCAAGTCAATTTTGATGTCTTCTATATACACTCCTGGAGCTTCACTGAGTCTCCATGGGTCCTAACATGGTACACATATAGTTAGAAAATGAACAATTGCTAAAAAGATTTGAGTAGTCTTCCGTATATGCACCGCAGAAAGTGAGCTCAGTGATATACCTCTGTAACTTCATTGTGCAGACCTCATCAGGAACTGTGACTATCCCTTGATATGGACAATCTAGAGTTTAAAAGAATTTTTCACATAGACTCCTCCCCTCCACCCCGCATTATCGTCAACATCCCTTAAGCTCTCCTCCTCCCATGACACAACACACGTACACAGAGCAATTAACAAGCAGTTCCATCTCAGCAACTAGCAGCTATGTCATAAATTTTAAAATACGCTCTTTTTTTTTATAGTGTCCACCTTTACTTCCATACACAATAGAAGCCTGAGATTAATAAAAGTAAACTATAGTTAAATCCAATTTTGGAAGTGGAACCCCTTTTCCAATTTGTCATTTCTGCTCTCTCCTCTGCCAAGGCTACCATATACAAGAAGGCAAGTCAAGGGAGGAATACATTCGTTTATATGAATGTGTGTGTGTGTGTGTGTGTGTGTGTGTGTGTGTGAGTGTGTGCACGCACGCACACGTCCTGACAGTAACTCCAAGTGACAAAGTGACAAAAAGGCAAAACTGAATTGACTGAATTTATGGTTCACAAACATTTAATTGGGCCCTGGGCTTATAAATAACAATAGAAACCATCTATTAGTCTTTACTATGTACCAGGCAGTATGCTAAACTTTTTTTTATATTAACGAATTTAATTCTCACAATGGCCCTGTGAAATAAATATTATCATCCTCATTTTAAAGTACTGGAAACTCAGCCACATCAGCTAAAAAACTTGGCCAGGGTCACACAGGAGTAAGGAAGTCAAAGAGCCAGAGTCTGGACCTGGGAGTAACTGACTCCAAGGGCTAGGTCTGCTTTAAGCAATGGTTCTCGAAGTGTGGTCCCTGAGCCAGCAGCAGCAGCATCACCTGGTAATTTGAAGAAATGCAGACTCTCAAAGCTTACTCCAGACTTTCTAAATCAGAGACGCTTTGAGCAGGGTGGGGATGCGGGGGCACGATCCATTTTAACAAGTCTTGTAGTAGGTGATTCTGATGCACGCTACTGCCTCCCTCTGCTCTTTTATTCACAAACCTCCCCTACAAGGAGAAACAAAGAGAATGCTTATCTGAAAAGCAAACTCGAATAATCAAGGGGGAAAAAAACAGGTGTAATCTCTAAGAAGAGTAAGGCAAAATTAAATTTAGGTTTGTATTCTAATTCCAGCTGCACCACTCACCTGCTAGAACCATAGGTCAGTCAATTAACTTTCTCCATTTGTTTTGCCCCTTTTTTAAATAATGGATCTTTTTTAAAAAGGGAATTTAACTTGACCTCATTATTCTTTAAACTCTTGAATTCTATTAACAGTTTATTCTTTCAGACAAAGTATAGATCTTTTCTGTTACATTATCAGAAATACTAACAAAAACAATAAAATTGCTTGTACTCATACTAATTATATGAATTATATAAAGGCATTTATAAATGCCTTTAAACTAAATATTGTTTATTCAGTCAGCTTCAAATTACATTGGTAGAGCAAGTAGAAGATCTGGGTGCTGGGATACAAAGAATTTCAAAAACCAACTAGCAAAGAAAGTTCCCATCTAGATACAATAAAAACGAGGTAAAGACATGTTTCACATTTTGGATATGAGGTGTGAGAAATTGTGCCCTCTGATCAAACTTCCACCTTGCTTCTGTGGAAAGAGAAACTAAGTTCTTCCTTGATTTTAGGTATAGAGACTGTCAGACTTGCATTTCATTCAAGCTGGACTTGTTTTTAACTTCTGCAGGAAGGAGATAATGAGCTGTGACTGCCATTTCAAAACCAAAAGGGGTTTTGCTTTTCAATAATTTTAAAGAACAAAAGACTGAGAGTTCAAGTAGAAACTTGTTTGTTATAAAATCAAATACAACAGAACTGAATAATAAATACAACCAGATGCAAAAGGACACATATTATACAATTCTATTTATATCAAATGTCCAGAATAAGCCAATCCATAGAGAGAGAAAGTAGATTAATGGTTGCTTGGGGGCTGTTGGTAGGTGAGGGGGAATGAGAAATAACTGCTAATGGGTATCGATTCCTTTTTGGGGTAATGAAAATGTTCTAAAATTAGATAGCGGGGCCGGCCCAGTGGCATAGTGGGTAAGTTCGAGCACTCTGCTTTGGCAGGCCAGGGTTTGCAGGTTCAGATCCTGGGTGCAAACTTATACACCACTCATCAAGCCATGCTGTGGTAGCATCCCACATATGAAACAGAGGAAGTTGGCACAGATATTAGCTTAGGGACACTCTTTCTCAAGCAAAAAGAGGAGGACTGGCAATGGATGTTAGCTCAGGGCCAATCTTCCTCACCAAAAAAAAAAAAAAAAGAGAGATAGTAGTGATGGTTGCACAACCTTGTGAATATACTAAAATCCCCTGGATAGCACACTTTTAAAGGGTGAATTTGGGGCCAGCCCTGGTGGCCTAGTGGTTAAGTTTGGTGGACTTGGCTTCAGGAACCCAGGTTCGGTTCCAGGTGCAGACCTACACCACTCGTCTGTCAGTGGCCATGTTGTGGTGGCAGCTCACCTACAGAAAAGAGGAAGACTGGCACAGATGTTAGAGCGAATCTTCCTCAGCAAAAAGAGGAAGATTGGCAACATATGTTAGCTCAGGGCAAATTTTTCTCAGAAAAAAAAAAGTGAATTTTATGATATGTGAATCATATTTCAACTTTTTTAAAGTAATGAAAAGTAGAGCAAAAAGTCTGAGCTTATAAAATAAGACGTGAACATAAAAAATGAACAAATACAATTTACAAACTAACATTAACCTATAGCAAAGAAGTATAGAACTAGCCATGCTTATAACTTTTTCATAATTATCTAATTTTTATATCCTTAATGATTTTTGTCTGCTTATACTATCACTACTAGAAAAGTAAGTGAAAATCTTGAGCTAACTAAATATGGTTTGAATGTCCGAGAGCCCTTCACAACCTGCCAAGTGTATTCGTTTAGTTCTTGCTGCATTCTGAGGCCATACATCTGAATATTTAAAGGATAGCTTGCCTGAAAAGTAACACGACTTGATGTTATTCTTGATGCCATGTATAGACAACTCCAACTCCTCAGCATTTCAGTTAACAAACTAGTGAAGGAGGGGTTGAGGAAACAAGGTGAATCTGAAAACTTTCCGTCATCATCTTTTGAAAAGCACTAGGATCAAAACTTGCAAAATGAGTGTCAGAGTCTTGGAAGAAAATCCCAGGCAAAGGGGCTTGAAGAAAGTCCCAGAAGAAAATCACCCTCACTCTCCACAGTAGCAGAACAATGTTGTGTGGGAAAAACACAGACATTGACAATTCTGAAACAAGAAAGTGTTTCAAAAGAATCAGACTACGAATGTGAAAAAGTCTCAGGAATACCTGAACCAATTTATTTAACTTGTAATTTCTTTATGTACGCATAAAAGCGATGTGAGAAAAATCTATGTCTAAATGAATCTAAAAAAGCACTTTCAGTAAACATAAAATGAAATTGTAAGTGATAAAGCATAGTGTCACAGTCTAATTGGAAGTATTTTTTCTATATGGCATATAACGTGTCTTGATATCACTGGAGTCTTAGAGTCAATGAAATACCAAATCTTGAATTTTAAATCTACCCTCTTCTTTTAAGCTATTTATCTTGCCTCTTTAATATATACTTCCTCTCCTTCCTCGCCTCCGTTTTGATTTCTGCTTTTGATTGACAGAGAATTTTTCAAATACACTTTTCTCCCTCCACTAGGTTCTAATCTTTTAATGTTTATTCTAGAAATAATTAGGACAATGAACTCACTGAAGTCTAAAGTTAATTAAAATTTACTCCTTAATAAGGCCTCAATAAATGTGAACTGTTATAACAAAAGAAACAGAAAACGTTCTGGCATATTAGGTAGAAAAGTCACGACACAAAAATTTCTTTAAATAACAAGATAACATCAAATGTGTCAGAGACAGGTTTACAGATTTTCATAAACCCAATAACGTCCATACAAAAGAAGGAGAGCTAAGCGATAAGGAGAGGCAATGGGAAGAAGAGGGGACGAACCTCCTTTTATTCCATTTCCAGGTCAGTAAGAATGGCCTCCTTTCTTTTATCACCCTCTTCCTCAGTAAGAACAGAGACCCAAACAGGAGACACTGGGCTAAGCTAGGCTGAGAGTAGACTGATCCAAACCAGGATAGGCTGATCTAAAGTAGGATGAGCTGCAGTTCCAAATCAGCCAGTGATCTCAAGACAGCAGGAAAGCACTGATCCCAAGGGCATCGGAGCCTCAGGCAAAATTACAAAGTAAGCAGAGTTCTTAAGCTTCTCCTAGCATTCAATAAATACAAAATAATTTCCCTAAATTTTCAAGCCCTAAAAGGAGGCTTATCTTTCTTCCCCTGTCTCCACCAGAACAAAATTCCCATTCATACACAGAGGTAGATTTCTTAACTATTGATTCATACTAGTAGTTATCCAGATTAAGGTTACCTGGTGGGTGAGTAGGTGGATGGGTGGGTGGGTGTAGGGATGTGTGTGTATCAGATAGTTTCCTGTTTTGCTGTAGGGAGACCTATCCTGGAAGTGGTTACAAAGAATGGTTGTGGAGAGAAGAGGGTAGGGTAAAGGAAACTGAAACAAATGTGTCCCTTTTCTTGTAACAGTCTCTATTCCTCCCTCACCCATCTCTTTCCCCATCTCAACCCTGCTCCTTTACTCCTCTTCCTACAAATATAAGAGTGAATTGAAGTACATTTTCTTTCATCTATTGTATATATTGATTAATTTAACAAATATTTATTAAGTACCCACTTTGTACCAGATATTATGCTGGATACAAAGGTAAGTAAGATAGACATGATCACTACCCTCAGAGAGCTTTCAACCTAGTGTGGAAGGCAGCCTATTAAATAAACTATTGCAATTTGAAAAATAGCTGCTTACAAAACGAGGCATAGCATGATCCTTTTGCTGTTAATTAAAAAAATTTTAAAGGCATTAAAATGGTATTCAGCAAATAGACATTTTCAGTCAAGTGACTTACAATGCTAAATGCCTTTTAAAAACAAAACTGGGCTGTTTTTATAATCATAAGGTTCCTGATTATTTTGTTTATTTAGGGTCAATGGTTGTAGATTGGGAAAAAAAGGAAATCGAAGGACTAGTAGCAAAAGAATTACTGTACTTTGTGCCTAAGTGATAGAAGGAAAAATTCAAAACCTTGCAAAAACACAAAGATACTTTATAGAAATAAAATCTTAATTTGTTGGGGCCAGCCAGGTGGCACAGTGGTGAAGTGCACACGTTCCACTGTGGCACCCAAGGGTTTGCCAGCCCGGATCCCGGGTGCAGATATGGCACCACTTGGCAAGCCATGCCGTGGCAGGTGTCCCACATATAAAGTGGAGGAAGATGGGCACGGATGTTAGCTCAGGGCCAGTCTTCCTCAGCAAAAAGAGGAGGATTGGCAGCTGACGTTAGCTCAGGGCTAATCTTCCTGAAAAAAAAAAACAATTTGCTCCTAGATTAGTGGTTAGCAGAGGGGAAGGGGATTGGGGAGTAAGCATAAGGGGTAAAGGGGCACATGTATATGGTGACTGACAAAGAATAATGTACAATTGAAATATCACATGTTATAAACTATTATCACATCAATAAAAAAAACTTAATTTCCTTATCTTCCTTCTAATATTCCTAAAGGATTGACTGAATCTTTAGATTCTTCCCCCCTCCAATTTCCATTCCCTGAATTTCAGTTTCCTTTATCAAAACTTCATTTCAATTCACTTTCTTTACAGATATAATGGCAACAGAATCATTTCACATGACAAGTGTAGGATATATTTATATAATATTTACAAAGAAAAGTCTGGAAGGAAATAAAATATCAGCATACCAAAGTAAGTGAAGCAAAGGCCAGCTAAAGTAAGAGGAAATTTCAAGACAGGTGACAGTTAAGTGGTTAAAAAAACACACACAAAAACTTTTAACTAACAAGGAAGATAAAAGTGTGCCTCATGGGATGATACTGAATTTAAATGTAACTTGAGATGGCTTATACTTTTCAACATAAATTTACTTCCTGATGATCTGTTATGTGATACCCTTGGGACAACTTATCTCTGTCTTTTTAGTGCCTCACACAAAGCAAGCGACTCAATAAATGTTAGCTCTTTTTTTAACACATCCATAAATTGCAGAACAAACATCTATTAAGCATTTATGGGTAATCTAAAAAAATAACCAAAACAAATACCCAATCAAGACAGAAAGGCTTTTACAATGAATCATGGGATAAAAGTAAAAAAAGAAACACAATTTATTAGATGAAAGTTATTTTCTTCTGTAGACAATGGTCAGACTTAAAGTTCTGCCACCGCAAATTACTCAAGTTACTTTTAGTGGCTATCATAGCTTACAGATCTCAGAGATGAAAGAGAAAAAGATCCATACTGTGACAGAGACTTCTATTTGCCTGATGATATCCACATCTTCCCTTCCTCCTCCGTAACAAAAGCCCAATTTTAGTCAGGGCAGCCATGCATTCAGCTATATTTCCTTGTTTCCCTCGGAGCCTGAGCTTTGGTTCAGGAAGTCTCCTTAAAGGGAGAAGATGTACCCTTCTTTGTCTTTGCCTTGCTGCCTGGAACTTAGCTGTGATGGTTAGAGCTCTGGCAGCTATCTTGCACTATGAGCACCAGAGCCCCACCTTAGGGATAGCAGACCAAAGAACTGGAAAGAGCTTAGGTCCCTGATGACTTCATGAAGCTACTATACCAATCCTAGATGGCCTACTTCAGGAATTATTTTACATGAGAAAATAAATATTGTGTGTTTAAGCCATCTTTAAGTCTGTTTTGCTTTCTTAACTGATCACTTACCTTCAGAAAGGTAAAGAATTTTTATCTCCTTTTTACAGATGAGACAACTGAGATCCAGAGAGGTAAGATGACTTGCACAAGATCAAATTAGTGAAGAAGTGGGTCTTGGCTCGTAGCTCAATGCTGTTTCACTAAAAACTGACTCTTAGCAGATTCTAAATGTAAAAAAAAATGAAATAAAACACATTAAATATAAACATAAATTTAGCCTTATTACAGTGGTAATGGCACATGATAGTGTCTGTATTTGTCACATCCCGTGAAAAGAAAAAATATCAAATTTTTGTGATGTGTAAGGAAACTAAACAATATCATATTCCAGTGAGGAGGGAGTTGGATATTTAAATAAACAAAATCAAAGACCAGAATAAACAAAGATATTGATTTATTGTGCCCAGGTTGCTCCCCTTTTAATAACTATATTTCCCCTATTTTAAATAACTAAGAAGAATTCAAACTAAAAGCTTATTTTCCTCAGCAATGAGACTTCAAGATATAGGCTAAGTTTTCCTATTAAACCCTTAATTGGAATCTTTCTTTACCCTTACCATCACTTTTAAAAATGAACCTTGGCCCACAGATCAGTCACACAGATCAGTAACAAAGCAAAACACCTCAAATTCTTTTTTGAAACTCCACTACCCAAGTGTAAAATACCAGGCAGTTAGCTCATGTGCAAGCTCACTTGTAAATGTAATCAATTATTTCCAAGTAGTCTGTAAAGAAAATAAGCAAATAAAATATCTTCAAATTTTAAGAACACAGATATTTCTCTCTTTTTGTGGTATATTTAACATAAGATGATCTAAGCAGAAGAGTGCTCACATGCATGTTATATGTTGGAAAGGCATATGACTTTTATGAACACAGCATGGTCAAAAATAAACAAACAGCAGATTGAATACTAACCACTCCCATTTACTGGTAAGCTACTTGCCTGTCTGAGTCTCGATTTTCCTATCTACAAAATTAAACTAATCCTTCTTCATAAGCTTTTGACTGGATGAAAATAACAATGACTATCATGTCACTAGCACAGTGCACGGCAACAGTAAACGCTCGACAAATATTAATGCCCTTCCTGTCTTGAAAATAAAATAGCTATATATTGAAATAATGAAAATCTGCTCTGCAAACACCCAAAGTTATAAAACTTAAAAAGCAATAAACCAGTTTGAACAACCTCTCAATGTCATTTTTGAAGAGCTGCATTAGAGCTCTCCTCTGAGCACCACCACAGCCAAAGCCCTGATGCAGCTGTAGGCCAATGAAAAAACTACAGCCAACAAGAGGAACACAATCTTTTCCTCCTGGCATTAAAACGGAACTTTTGCAAGAGACCCAGGTTTCTTATCCAAGGCACTGCCCAGAGCCAGGAAACTTGGGTTGCTTCTTCTTACTGTCAAAGTCATAATTCTAACAGTAAAAAGGAGTGGGGTGGAGAAAAATAAATGGCTTCTGAGCTTCTTGATGGCAGCAGAGACAAGGGCAATCAGTAAGCTGGTGCTCATCTCCATTTTTCCCTTTGAAAATTAGAGTCAATGGGAAAGTGAGGTTCAAAATATCAGATGTATGACCAGCTGAGCTGTACTCCACCCCTTCCCTGTATCAAGACATCAGCATCGATTTTCGTGTCTCTGATGCTCATATCTGTAGAAAAGGACACCCGTCAAGGAACCCATTACATCACCTTTTTCTCGGTTACAGTATCCTTGATAACAGACTCTTGAAAAGCAGATACTGTTGCTCATCTGTATCACTCAATATACAAATTTATTAAAATTACAATGTCTTCATTATTTACACATACTGTACTTCAAATAACGAAAATACAATACGTCAAAAAGCTCTGCAAAAAATAAAAGCGTGCAGGGTAGAGTCTGGGGAAGGGGTGGCAGGCGCCATGTCTGGCCGCAAAGGTGGCAAGAAGCAGCCCCTGAAGCAGCCCAAGAAGCAGGCCAAGGAGATAGATGAGGAAGATAAGGCATTCAAGCAGAAACAGAAGGAGGAGCAGAAGAAACTTGAGGAGCCAAAAGTGAAGACTGCAGGAAAGGGTCCCTGGCCACAGGTGGAAGTAAGAAATCTGGGAAAAAGTACGCTGTTTCTTGTGCCTGAGGCAATGGTGATCCTTCATTCCATTCCTGTTTAAACATCTAGAGTCCTTGCAATAACATCTGTTGCCACCTATAGTTAGAATGAAGTGTTGTCTTGGAGCCTGTTGTACATTTAACAATAAACTTTCATAAAAAAACAAAAAATCATACAGTGACTCATCTTCTCTTTACTTCTTCTCACTCAGCCATTTCTACCTTAGCTGGGAGGTCCGAGTAAATCCAGCCCAGAATCCTTCTAATGTTCTTCAGTCTTTGATCTATCCCGAATGCTGTACCTCCTGGAATTACACCAATTCATTTGAAAAAATAAATAAATAAAAAAGAAAAGCATGCAACAGCTATCTCAATTTCCATTAGGCTGCTTTAACATTTTTAAGTCAGAGAATTCTGGGACCAGAAATCATCTTTGAGATGGTTTTGTTCAGACTCTATTTTCATAAAATATTCTAAAGCACAGGCAAGTTACTAACTTAGCCAGGATCATTTGGCGGAGCCAGGATTGGAATCTGGCCACCAAATTCTAATTAAGTATACTTTTCACTATATCACGGTGGTTTTTTTAAATTTTAGATTGTAAATCATTAAGTGATTGATATTTTTCCTTGAATAAATTATTTGAAATTGCTAGCAGCCTGTTTTTTAAAGTCTATAAACAAACCGCACATGTTAAACATAAAAATAACAAATTTCCCATTTCTAGACCTTCAGTTATTTAGAAAAAGTTAATCTATCACGCCAAATATAATCAACTCAATTGTGAGTTGCAACCCTTGTTGCCTTAATTGTGCATTTTATTTTAACTAGTATTTACAGAGCACAAAACCAACTTGGCAAAAAAGCATGCTGAAAGGGTACTCACAAAATGTGTGAGATGAGCAGAGAGTACCTGGGAAGATCAAAGAAAGGTAAACACAACATGGACTCGGCTTGCAAGACGGGTGAAATTAGCATAGAGGAAGAGAACAGCATAGGTAACCACACAGAGACAGACGGATTTTTCACTCATACTAGAAAGCTAGACCAGATGGTGGAGAGTTTAAAGACCAAGATGAGAAACAGAAGTTTCCATGTTCACCCTAATAACAAGAGTGATATTATTTGAGATTTCCAATTCTAAATTTACATGTTTTTTAAAAAGTTTTGACCCTATTAACTGAAGAACATTTGTTGAAACATGTTTGTTAAACATTTGTTGAACTTGTTGTTCAAGCTTTATAAGATAACTCACATTCAGCTTAAATCAGGATTAATCCTGAGGCAATTTCTGTGAGGGACAAGAGGCAAGAATCTAGATATTGCCTGACTCTATTCAACAGAATTCACCAGGGAAGGCCTTAAGAAACAGATAATTTAAAAGGTCATAAAAGAAGCTATAGTTTATCTGATCTAAATTTATTATACCACGAGTCATACTAATTTTAACCAATTCCTTAAAGCAACTGTCTCATCGATTCTTTAAATTCTTATAGAGAGTCCACAATCTCCTTCAAATAAATTTGACTATCAGAAATATTTGAATATAACCTCCCTTCCCCCTCTTTTTTTTAACCAAGATAATATATCGTTTGGTGGTCAAATTCATCCACGGATTTAACAGCCTTCACAAAAAGGCTTAGATGGCAGCACTCACTTATTCAATTGCGTAAATGTACATTATCCAATTTAGGAGGTCAGTGGACACTGAGAATTTCAGGAGATTCTGTCTCCCAGAAATAAGAATAATGATTCAATGGTTCATGTTGGTATTATCTCTTTCTCCGTCTCTCTCTCTCAATATTGTAAAATAATTGCCAACCAAGACCATTGCCAGCACCAAGCACAATAACCACATTTGCTCACTAAGTTACCACTCAGCAGGTGCAACAAGGAAGTACTATCTTTCTCATACCCTGAAACTGAAAGAGCTCATCTCACATCTAAAGATTTGTCACTTAAGGGAAAACAATACCACAAGTGGAACGAACTTTCTCCTCTCCTAAGTGTCAGTGGTTGCCTGTGTAACAGAACCGGCAGAAGAGCAGGATTCATGGGCCTAGCTTTGCTCGGCGGCGCGAAGGGTGGCGAGCCTCAGCCCGGCACTGATGGGTATACCTTCCACACCAGTGGACACCTCCCTCGCTGGACTGCCGCCGGGGTCTCGGTCCTGTACCCACCCTCGTCTGTTCCCTGCCAAGAGCCTGCCACCCTCATCGACCCCAAAGCAAGCTTGAGAGCCCTGTAGCGAGTGGAGCGGAGGAAGGGACCCCATGCCTCAGGCTCCAGCTGGAAGCCCCCCATCCTAACCTGTGTCCGCCCACTGTGCGGCCCCCACCATGCTCATCGCCCGCGCAGGGCAAGCGAAGCCTTGAACCTTACTTCAGGACCCGCTCCAGCCTCCTCCCGTGCTGATCCGCACCCACCTCGAGGCCACCAGCCTTACCTAGCCGGGTCTCGGCGCGCGGGCCTCCGCCTGCAGAACGCATGCAACGCACAAACCTGTCTCTCCAGCCCCCCGCCCGCGGCTTTGCTCTAAGCCTCCGCGGACCGCGCGCTCCCGCCCCCTCGCTGCCATGGCGACAGAACCCGGCCCCCGGCAGCCGCTGATTGGCCCGACGGGAATCGCGGAAGGCGCTGATTGGCGGGGGCGGAGGCGAGGCGGTGCGGGCCGGCGGGGAGGCGGGCAGCGTGCGGCGCGTACGCGCAGGAGCCTGGGGGCGGCTGAGCCAAGAGGGACGTGGCGCTCTGCGACGCGGGCGGGGAAACCGCGCCCCTTCCTTCTCGAGCGTTGTGGAGCAAGATTTGGGCGGGTGAGGTGCTGTCCCGGGACCGGGACAAAACCCGGGGATCTCCTCCCGCTTGGCCGGTGGCCCGCGCCGGCAGCGCCCGGGCGGGGCAGAGACGGGCTGCAGGCGCGTTTTCGCCCACAGGCCCGGCTGGGTCTAAGCCCCGGCCTCCTCCGCCGCGGGAATCCTCCTCGTCTTTGTAACTCGCCCGCCCCGCTCGTGCCGGTCCCTCGGCCACTGTGGCTCGATTGCTGTTTACTCCACCTTCTGTCCCACCCGTCTGCGGACAGGTCTCTTTTCTCTACACCCTCCCCCCCGTAGAACTGAGACATCTACTCCACGCCCTTCACTTTAAAGATGGGGAAACTGAGGCTCGAAGATATACGAGGGTCGAGGGATGGAGAAGCTTTTGGAGCCTCGAGGCTGATTTTGAATCTTGAATCTGCGTAATAATAGCACCTTCCTGAGCCTTAGTTTTCTCCCTTGTAAAAAATGGTATCGTCTACCTCAGGGGTGTTACTGGAGATCAGATAACCTTCCAGAAAACCAGTACAGAACCTGATGGGTATGTGAGTCCTGGTAGCTTCCTTTTTATCAGGAAGTATTAGGGGTTGTAGCTAAGTGCACTAATCTGAAGTCAGACTGCCTGTGTCGCCAAACCGGACTTGGCTTATCGCAAACCAACTCCGCGAGTAGGGGCAAGTTCCTTAAGCACCCTGTGCCTCAGTCTCCTTGTCTGTAAAATGGGGTAATAATAGTTCCCACCTTACAGCATAACATGTCAATAGAAAAGTGACTGGCACATAGTAAGTGCTTAGTAAATATTAGCCTTCTCACTTTAGTGGCCCCGCTAAGACCATAATTCAAGTCTCTGGATTCCAATCTTGCAATGTTTACTCTCGTACTCCTCTCCTCTACATGCTTAGCATAGTGCCTCGAGGTTAAGCTCCTTTTTAAGGTTCAGGAGGAAGCTTTTGTCCATTTTGTTTAAATCAAAATCTCAAACTATCTCCCTTATCATCGTGAAAGTCCTAGAATGTTGACTCTTCCTCAACTGAAGGTTTAATAGCAGCGGTGAATGTAAGGAGAATAATAATCTTCAGTTCCAACGGATAGATTAAAGAGTGAAAGCATGAGAGAAAGAGGACATTCAAGAGGCTATGGTGTAGGAGCTCTGAATTTCAATGTGAAAAACATGAGAAATATGATTATTTAGGTATTGGTTTTGTATCGTTTGTAGGGGAGGAAGACATTTCCTCTACCCTCTCTGGGTTCTTCTGGCCGGAGAATGAATTAAATTCACATGAGACAGAATAGCAGAAGAAAATTAAACAAAGCTTTATCTAAAATCTGAGGACCATGGCCCGGTGACTTTCTTCCCAAAGGAAGAAAGGGCACCGAAGAAGTGGGGTTCACAGAGTGGCTGTATACCCCCAAACAGGATGTTTCACGTAGGATTGAAATGTCTCTTTTACAGTAGTCGCGAGACTGCTCTGTCGGCACAGCGATTCATGGAAACAGCAGATAGGTCTGCTGTCTCAGTGAACACAGCAGGGTGGCAGGTCTGTTGTCTCCAGCTGGGTGGTCACAGGTGAGCTGGGTGGTGAAAGGTGAGTGCAGCAATCAGTTCCTAGCCTAAGGAAAGATGCTTATCCTTAAGGAAATACCATTGCGGGGGGGAAGTTGCACCTTTATCTTAAGGCCATTTGTTCTTGCCATAGTAATGTTTTAAAGCAGATATACAGTGCGTGCTCAATGGCCACAGTCAGGCCCTTTTGGAAAAAAGCAAAGTCAGGCCAAATTAGGTTTACACCAAATGGCTTCCTCATGTACACCAATATATCCTATTACTTGCCATTTCTATTTGTCAATGTATACATGGGAGAGGCTCAGGCAAGCTGAGCAACTTGCCAAAATGGCTGAAACCACCACCTTAAATATCACATCCAGCTAAAGACAAAGGAGGATGTTGAGGGTGGGGGGAGTCAGTTACAGGAGGTTACCAGACAAGCACAATAAACAAATGCAGATTTAAGTCCTTGCCTTCCCCACTGATTAAGAGTTTCTAGAGATAAGGGCTTCCCCCATTCTTCCTGGTACAGAGGGAGATATCTTTACAGATGAAGATTTCCTTTACAATGTAAACATCTCTTGCAAAGGGTAAGTAAATTCTACTTTTCAGTTGCTTTCCTGTCTGCAAAGTAACCAGCCCCAAATAATCATCATGCCAAAGAGACATATCTTGGGGTGGCCAATTGCAGGCCCCCACACGTTAATAACCAATGTTAGAGTCAGATCAGAAGACAGTACCACATCCCGGCACTGTGGAAAACACTAAACTGTAAATACATTAAAGGCAGAAACTACCTTGCACATTTGTATTACCCATTATCTACCACAGGGTGAAACAGTACCTGATCCAGGCCCTAAAATTTGGGACAGACTCTTTAAGGGGAGACCCTGAAAGATCTGTAATAATCTGTCTAGATTACTTATAGTAATCCAATGGAAATGAAGGATGGAAAACCAGAAGACTGGATTCGTCCAACAATGCAATGAAAGGAAAAGGGTAATGAACACGCACTTGGTGATTGGGATGCCAGCATCATTCTCAGCAATATTTTGGGGTGAAGGAAAAAGAGAAGACAAGGAAGACAGGGCAAACAGATGAAAGAGCAAGATGCAGGATTAGGAGAAACCTCTGACGAAAATACTTCAGAATGTCATATGCATATAAAGCAGGCAACAGCATCTCTTATACTCATAAAAGTCATTTTGTAGTAGGGAAGAATAATGTTGATAGTGACCCCTGGAAACATCCTATGGTCTGAGGGACTTATAAGGAAATGTTGCTTTACTTAGTAGGTAAAACCCAAAACTTGGGGGCTCAGCACTGATGGAGAATCTCCTGATGGGGAAGAGGACTGAAGAACACACCACTACACTGTACAAGGGAAAAAACAAGTCTTTGGAGTCAGAACTGGGTTCCAGCCCTGCCTGGATTAAAAACCCAGTTCCACCTTTATTAGCTGAATGTCCTCTGGCAAGTTACTTAAATTCTCTCCATGGCATAGCTTCCTCATCTCTAACATGAAGGCAACAATAGTTCCCACATCAAATAGCCATGAAGATTAAATGAGTTTGTATTTGTAAAGCAGTTAGAGCAGTGCCTAGCACACAGAAAGTGCTCTTTTAATGTTTGCTAACATGTTGGTCTCAGTATCTCCATCTGTACCCTGGGATCATAATGCTGAACTTACTGTAAGGATTCAAATGATGTATGCAAAGTGTTAGAGAGGAGATGCTCAATAGATATTACTTCTCTTCCACCCACTCACCCCAAACCCCAGCCTGTTACCTTTGAACCCCTTTCTGATTACCACTGCCACTGCCATCGAGGGGCCGTTACTCAGCCTGGTCTAAGCAAGGGTAAAATATCTTTCCTTAATTTCCCTTGGCTCAGCTGAAATGCTCAAAATGAGTTTCCTGGCGGCCAAGAGAAAATAAAAGGGAAATAACTCCAGAAAACTGGCTGATGTGAAGCCTGCCCCATATGACATCTGTTGGTACTCCAGGAAAAATATGTATATATATGGTGTCAAGGAGATTCTGGCTTGTTAATTCTTCAAGTCTTCCCTTTCTCACTCCTTCTAGGATCCCACGGAACAAGAACTGGCAAGTTTTTCATTGTGTTCAGAAGAGGGGAGAGGGAGATGGTAGTACTTACTCGCAAGAGACAGTAAGTAATCAGGAACAAATAAAGTCTACAGTACACTCTACATGGGAGCCAAGACGTACTAGTTTTATCAAGGGTCAACAAACTGAGGCTCTAGGACCAAATCAACCAGCTGCCTCTTTTTGTAAATGGTTTTATTGGAACACAGCCATACTCAACAGCCACACCATTTGTTTATGTATGGGCTCTGCTTGCTTTTATACTACGATGGCAGGGTTGAGTGGTTGTGACAGAGATTGTACGGCCCTCAAAGCCAAAGATATTTACTACTGTCTCTTTACAGAAAAAAATGGCTAACGCATGATCTAGATAATTCACCCACAATCATCTTCTCAGTATCCCCAGTGCAAAGATTTCCACCTTCACCCAATCCTCTAATCCGTGGCTTCTCGGACTTTAATGTGTTGTCAACCTTAAAAAGGAAACAGCCAGTTGTTTTACCAGAAAGATGGGTTTATTCTAGAATAGCAGGGGAATTGCAATTCAGGACAAGCAAGCTATAGCAAAAGCCATGGGCAAGCCCAGCAAGCAAAGGAGAGGAACATTATTTTATAGGGAAATAGGAGGACGTTGGGAGGAGTTGTTTGAAACGGAAGTCCACTGGTGGAAAGTAAGAGTGATGGTTTCTCATTGGCTGTTGCTGGGGTGCTGGTAGTTGATTTCTTTTTTTTTTTTTTTTTAAGATTTTATTTTTCCTTTTTCTCCCCAAAGCCCCCAATACATAGTTGTATATTTTTAGTTGTAGGTCCTTCTAGTTGTGGCATGTGGGATGCCACCTCAGCATGGCTTGATGAGCAGTGCCATGTCCTTGCCCAGGATCCAAACCGGCAAAACCCTGGTGAACTTAACCCCTGTGCCACAGGGCCAGCCCCAGTGTAGTTTTTTCTTTTCTTTTCTTGAGGAAGATTAGCCCTCAGCTAACATCGGCTGCCAATCCTCCTCTTTTTTTGAGGAAGACTGGCCCTGAGCTCACATCCATGCCCATCTTCCTCTACTTTATATGTGGGATGCTTACAACAGCACGGCTTGCCAAGCGGTGCCATGTCCACACCCAGGATCCAAACCGGCAAACCCCGTGCTGCCAAAGCAGAATGTACGCACTTAACCACTGCGCCACTGGGCCAGCCCTGATTTCTTATAGGAGATGCAATGTACATCTTCTCCAGTTGGGTCCTGTAATTGGTGATTCTTTCCTGTTGATGATTCTTCTGTTGCGGTCTGTAATTGACAGTTCTTCAGTTCAATTTATATGGGTGGTACTGCATGAGAGCTCCCCCTTCTGGTCTCCTGACTCCCTTTTAGTGAGGTTTCACTTTATTAATTTTCAGTGCATAAAAATCAGCTAGAGGTCTTGTTAAAATGCAGATTCTGATTCAGTAGATCTACACTGAGAGCTGAGATTCTGCGTTTCTAATAAGCTCTAGGGTGATACCAATACTGCTGGCCCCTGAATCTACTTGATCCCATCAGGGTTTTTTTCTTTTTTTTTAATTGAAATATAATTTGACATATAACATTATATTAGCTTCAGGTGTACATGTTTCGATATTACAGATTCAGTATGTGTATATTGTGAAACGGTCACCACAAGAAGTCTAGTTAACATCCATCACCACACATACTGTAGTTACAAATTTTTTTTCTTGTGATGAGACTTTTTAAGATTCACTCTTAGCAACTTTCAAATATGTGATACAGTATTTTTAACTATAGTTACCATGCTGTACTTTATATCTCCATGACTTATTTATTTTATAACTGGAAGTTTGTACCTTTTGACCCCCTCCAACTTTCACCTACTTCCCATCCCCCACCTCTGGCAACCACCGGTTTCTTCTCTGTATCTGTGAGTTTGGTTTCTTTTTTTTTAGATTCCACATGTAAGTGAGATCATATGGTATTTGTCTTTCTCTGTCTGACTTCTTTTAATGCCCTCAAGGTCCATCCATGTTGTCACAAGTGGCAGGATTTTCTTCGTTTTTTGGCTAAATAATATTCCATTGTAACATTATTTACCTTGTAATATTGTAATATTCCAATGTATATATATGTATACCACATTTTCTTTATCCATTCATCCATCAATGGGCACTTAGGTTATTTCCATATGTTAGCTATTGTGAATAATGCTGCAATGAACGTGGGGGTGCAGATAGCTTTTCAAGATAGTGTTTTCATTTTCTTCAGATAAATACCCAGAAGTGGAATTGCTGGATCAGATGGTAGTTCTATTTTTAACTTTTTGAGAAACCTCCATACTGTTTTCCCCAGCGGCTGCACCCATTTACATTCGCACCAACAGTGCACTGGTGTTCCCACTTCTCCACATTCTCACCAGCACTTGTTATTTCCTGTCTTTTTGATAATAGCCATTCTAACAGGTGTGGGGTGATATCTCACTGTGATTTTGATTTGCTTTCCCTGAAGATTAGTGATGCTGAGGGCCTTTACATACTCTTGCTGGCCATCTGACTATCTTTTTTTGGAAAAATGTCTATTCAGGTCCTTTTACCACTTTTAAATTAGATTATTTGGGGGGGTTTTTGCTATTGAGTTGTAGCAGTTATTTATATATTTGGATATTAACCCCTTATCAGATGTATGATTTGCAAATATTTTCTCCCTTTCCGTAGGTTGCCTTTTCATTTTGTTGGTGGTTTCCTTTGCTGTGCAGAAGCTTTTTAGTTTGGTGTAGTCCCACTTGTTTATTTTTGCTTTTGTTGCCTTTGCTTTTGGTGTCAAATCCAAAAAATTACTCCCAAGACTGATGTTAAGAAGTTTACCACTGGGACCGGCCCTGTGGCTGAGTCGTTAAGTTCACACACTCTGCTTTGGCTGCCCAGGGTTTCACCGGTTCAGATCCTGGGTGCAGACATGGCACTGTTCGTCAAGCCATGCTGAGGTGGTGTCCCACATACCACAACCAGAAGAACCTATGACTAGAATATACAACTATGTACTGGGGGGCTTTGGGGAGAAGAAGAAGAAGAAGAAGAAGAAAAAAAACAGTTTACCACCTATGTTTTCTTCTAAAAATTTTCTGGTTTCAGGTCTTGCATTCATATCTTTAACCCATTTTGAGTTGATTTTTGTGTATGGTGTCAGATAGTTGTCCAATTTCATTCCTTTGCATGTGACTGTCCAGTTTACCTAACTCCATTTATTGTAGAGACTATCCTTGCCCAAGTGTATATTCCTGGCTCCTTTATTGTAAATTAATTGACCGTATATACATGGGTTTATTTCTGGGTCCTCTATTCTGTTCCATTGATCTATTGTGTCTGTTTTATGCCAATATCATACTGTTTTGATTACTATAGCTTTATAATATAGTTTGAAATCAGGAAGTGTGATGCCTCCGCCTTTGTTCTTCTTTCTCAAGTTGCTTTGGCTGTTCAGGGTCTTTTGTGGTTACACATGTGGACGAAACTGGGAGTCCTCTCTCTTGTCTAACAGGTGAATTGAGCAAGCAAGCTGCATAGGCTTAAAGTCAGTACAGAAATCCATGCTGTACTGTGAAGCAGCCATGCAGGCCTCATAAGCCTGTGTCTAAATGACCTTGAAACCCCTCATCTGAGGACTGAAGATGCCAGCAGGATGAATCAGCAACAGGAAAGAGGTAATGGGTGTCCCGCTCTCACACGTCCCAGCTGCGTTTCTCAGAGATTGAGGGAAAAAGTAATGACCATGGTCCTTGCCTCCTTCCACACATAGATAACACCAACATTACAAGCCTCATTTGATATAAAACCAGAAGTTCATATTATCCTTGAAGTGGATGACTATCAGTTGTGTAAGCCCTTTCCTGCACATACGCTACTTTGTTAAAAAAGTATATAAACTCTATCATTCCTTAGAATACTCTGTTGGACTATTTCCTGGGATTCAAATTGCTCATTTTGACCATCAAATAAACTCCTTTAATCGACCTTTACCCAGACTCTTTATTTGAGTCAACACACACAAATTTTAGGACTATTTGTTCTATTTCTGTGAAAAATGCCATTGGAATTTCCATAGAGATTGCATTGAATCTGTAGATTGCTTTGGGTAGTATGGATGTTTTATCAATATTAATTCTTCCAATCCAAGAGCACAGAATATCTTTCCATTTATTTGTATCTTCTTTAGTTTCTTTCATTAATGTCTTAGGGTTTTCAGTGTACAGGTCTTTCACCTCCTTGGTTGAATTTATTCCTAGGTGTTTTATTTTTTTTGATGCAATTATAAATGGGATTGTTCTCTTTTCTTTCCCATCAGTTTTTATTATCAATTCTCTCTTGTTATTTCTTCTCTCACTATCCAGCTTAATTTCTCTGGTTCATCAGTAAAATAAGTCCCATACAAACGTCAACTCCCTTGCCTTTCTTTCACCCCGTTGCTCCTACTTGACAAAAACCCAGCCCTAGATGAACCCAAAATATGCCTTCTCCTTGTCTGTACCAATGTAGCTCTACATTTGCAGGAGAAATATCATTTGACCCATGTCTCTAAATTCATGGTCACCAACCTCAGATAGACCCTAACCACTGCCCAGCAATCCTCCAATGTTTCTCTAGCATGCTCTCTCTTCCACACCCTCAAAGACCATTCCATACATCTTCTTACTCCTCAGACTTCCCATTCTTCCTTCCTACTCATTTTCAGCTGACCGTAAGTCAACTTTGTTGAGAATCTCCTTGTACAAGTTAAGGAACTCTTGTTTTAAAGCAAGGTTTCTCAACAGCAACACTGTTGACACTTTGAGCCAAATATGTTTTATTGTGGGGGATTGTCCTGTATGTTTAGGATGTTAGCAGCATCCCTGGTATCTACTCTCTAGATCCTAATAACACCCACCTCCAGTAGTGACAACGAAAAATATCTCCAGACATTGCCAGATATCCATGGAGGAGTAAAATCTCCCCTAGTTTGGAAGCACTAGTTTAAAGTAACAGACACCAATTCCAGCTAACTTAAAGAAAAAGGGGATTTATTGAAAGGATAATGGACAGACTGAGAGGAAAAGAATCCCAGGGGCGGGATTCCAGGGGCTTCTTTCTAGAAGTGATAATCAGGTTAACTCCTTCTGCCTTTGGGTGTTCCTAATTAAGTTTAAAATTCTCAGTAGGAAGAATCTAAGTCCTGTTTAGGTCAGGAATTCACTCCTGTGTCCTAGGGAATAGAGTCTGTAACTAGAACCAAGCTAGGAAGAGGTGTTTAGCAGAAAAAAAGGAATAGCCGCCATACTCCTCCCATATTCTGTGTCTGTATTCAGCTAAAGTGACATAAAACCTGACTGCAGAGACTTCAATGAATTGGAATTTATTTTTCTACTATAAAAATCCATTTGAAGGTAGGTAGTTGTGGCATTGCTTCAGCTGCTGAGCAGTATCATCACAGCCTCTTTCCTTTTCTCAGCTCTGGCTTTTCATCTTCAAGCTTATGGAAGGTTGAAAGACGGCTATCATACTTCCTGACATCATGAATCATGACCCCATTCAAAAGTAGGAAAAACATGGAGGGAGTGGGCAGCAAAAGAACCTTTTATGTGAGAAGTTTCCTTTCCTTTTATCAGCAAAGGAAAAAGCTTTCACTGAAGCCCCTTCAGCAAATAACCCCTAAGTTCCATTGAGCAGAAATAGGTTATCTGGCCATTCTCTTAGCTGCAAGATATGACAGGAAAGTAGTGTCTGACAAAGGTGAATGCAGTAGTCATGACTGGCTTAGACCAATCACTGTTAATCCTCTGGATCTGCGCCCTTTGGGGCCAAATTTTAGGTTCTCTTAGCAAGAGAAGAGGGTCTAAGCTGTTAGTTAGGCAATAGTGTGGTGTCTGCCATGTTTTCCCAATATCAGATCCACAAATCTACATGATTCTGTAACCATTTCCTCTTTCTTCCCTCTGTAACAACAAAAGGCAAACGCTTTACCTGTGCTCTGAATCCTGTTCCCCTCACCCAGTTCTCAAGGACTTTGTTTTCTCACTTGGCCATCCCCTTTCTTTCCTATATCGCTAATCTTCCCTAGCTATCGAATCACGTTCTAGGCATACAAACATGCTGTAGGAGTGTTTTCCATCCTTAAGAATCCCTACCTTATGGATAGATTTTAAAAATGTGATACAACAAGTGTAGTAAAATGTTAATTATAGAACTTAGTGATATTTACTGCAAAAGTCTTTCAATTTTTCTGTATGTTTAAAACTTTCATAATATAATATTTGAAATAAAATTCTTTCATTGACCCCAAATCACCCTTCAGCTTATTTCTCTGCTTATTATTTGTTCAAATTCCTTTAAAATGTTCCTTTCTCTTCTTGCTCTCCTCCCTTTTACTCTTGATTTATGCCAATCTGACTTCCATCTCCACCACTCCTCTGAGATTGCTCTTATTAAGCTCCCCTTTGAATGGACAGTTTTCTGTTCTCATCTTATTCAGCTGTTCAGCAGCATTCTTTACTGCTGACGTCTCTCTCCGTGAAACACTTTCCACTCTTGGCATCTGACACCATTCTCTTCTAGTTTTCTTTCTAACTTTCTAGATACTCTTTTCAGTCACCTTTGCCAGCTTCTTCTCTGTTATCCAACTTCTAAAAGTTAGAATGTCCCAAGGGTTCATTCTGGGACCACTGCTCTGTCTATAGCCAATTTTTCCACAGGGGCACCATTGACATTTTGTGTCTGATGCTTTTTCATTGGGCAGGATTTCCCATGCACTTCAGGATGTTTTACATTCCTAGACCCTACCTAATAAATGCCAGTAGTGTCCCCTTTGTCCCTCAATGTGACAACCCAAATTGCCTCCAAAAAGTCCCTAGAGAAGTGATACTTCTCAGGGTTAAAAACCATTTGTCTCTTATTGGGTGATCCCAGCCATTCCATGACCTTAACTATCATATTTATGCTAATTCTCAAATGTCTCTGGCCCAAACATCTTTTCTGAACTCTAGACTGCTTCTAACTATGTACATGACGTTTCCATTTGAATCGCCATTCATAGAAACTCAATAAATATTTGAGGAATGCATGGTCTAATTAACTATCTTAGGCCCCCTTTTGTCTAAAACTAAATTCCTGATCTTTTCCTACTTGTTGTTTCCTGTGGGACATGTGGAGATGTGCTGCTAACATCCATCTTCAAGAAAGGACTGGCTGCCCAGTATGAGGAGTGTGGTGAGCTGACAGCCTTAAGCTGTTACCTGCTTCGGGGTTTGCCTCAGCCTTAGAACCAAAGTTACACTCTTCTTGGGCTATAACTGAGGACATAGTCTTCTTGAGGAGGCTCCCAGCCAATGACTAAGCAAAGTGGTAGTACAAGGCCTCCCCCAACGCAGAACTTCACTAACTGGCAGTCTTTGCTCTGGAAGTCCCCATTGGGGTGGCGGAGAGTTTGTCAGATTTGCATCACTATCTGCAAGCTCCTCCTACACAATTCTACTTCTGTCTCTTTTCCTTTTACAAGTTTTATTCCTTAGTAAACCTTTTGCATACCTAACTCTGTCTTAGCATTTGCTTCAGCATTTGCTGAACCTATTCAGCACTCTCTCTTTCTCGTTTCAGTAAATGGTATGCAGCCAATTGCTCAAGCCAAAACCCTATGAGTCACCCCTGAGTCTTAGTTTTCCTTCATACGACCTATCTAATCCATCAGCAAGTTCTGTTACTTCTACTTCCAAAATACATAATCTACTTCTTTGTCTCTCCTGCTACCAACCCAGTCCAAGTCATCATCATTTCTCACTGGAATACTGCAAATGGCCTCCAAAGTAGTGTCCTACTCCCACTTTAATCCCTTATAATCCATTCTCCATACAGCATTTTGGGGGTGATCTTTAAAGCATAGCACTACTGGGGCCAGGCTGGTTCCATAGCCATTAAGTTCATGTACTCCGCTTTGGTGGCCCAGGGTTTGCAGGTTCGGATCCCCATCACTGACCTACACACTGCTTATCAAGCCATGCTGTGTCAGGCGTCCCACATATAAAATAGAGGAAGATGGGCACAGATGTTATCTCATGGCCAATCTTCCTCAGCAAAAAGAGGAAGATTGGTGGCGAAAGTTAGCTCAGGGCTAACCTTCCTCAAAAAAAAAACCAAAAAAAACAAAAACGTAGCACTACTCTACTTGAAAACAATGCTCCTAATCCAGACTCCGTACTGTATCTATCTTCATGACGACTCCTGTCTTTCTGTTGAACCTCATTTCTCACCACTCTCCTTCTCAATCACTATACTCTAGCCATGTTGGTTTTTCTGTTCTCAGAAACCATTTCCAGCTAAGGCCTTTGCCCAGGCTGTACCCATTTCAGTAAACCACTATTTTCCCTACATTTTACATGGCTAGATCCTTCTCATCCCATTAGAACTCAAGCACCACTACCTCGGAAAAACCCACTCTAACCTCTCAATCAAAAGTAATTTCCCTCTCCTCCTTCCCATTGCTCTCCCTAATAGTGTGTGTGTATGTATCTATACATGTACCTACATATGAAATTCATTTACATATATAGATATGCGTATATATGCACTTCTTTCCTTGTTTTTTGTCTATCTCTCTCACTAGCCATAAGATCCATGAGAGTGTAGACCACATTTGGTTTGTTTATCACCATTTACCCAGAGCCTAGGACAGGGTCTGATGCATATAGTGGGCAATCAACACATATTTGTGGAATGGATGAGTGAATAAATGAATGAAAGGAAAATCACCTAATTATCTTAGGTCTTCATGTTGTTGGGGATTTTTTCCTCAGTGTTTTGGCAAAGGGATTCGATTTTTGTTTTTATCTTTTTTACCTTTAGAAAGAGAATGGAAATTGTATCCTCTGCTTGCTGATATTATAGTGACTAACATATAGGAGATAAATATTAATAATAGTAAATCATAATATCTAGATCCATGTTACAATGACCATAATTTCAAGAATCTCTTACTTTAAAAATTAGACTATCCCTACCCAAAAAGTTGTATCATATCCTAAGAATGATAATCCTACTCCCACTTAGCAATCGTATCCAAAAAAAAAAAAAAGAATAAACTAGAAACAAAGTAGTAGAAGAATGCTGAAGTATATATTCTGTGAATTACAAGAATTTAGTGAAAATAAAGTTCAGTCATGCTGCAGTAAAGAACATTGTTAAATAATGTATGCAAACAAATGCTGGGTGCATAATTCATAATTTTTGTTTCCTCCCAGCAAAAGACCTTAAAATGTGCAATGACTGCAATTATATAAATCTTATTCCTAATCTCTGGATTTTCATTCCATAAAGTTAGTAAAAGATAACCTCTCACTACCCCTAAGGAACAGACCATATACCCAGAGAGCAGAGTCTCTTTAGAGATCTCCAATAAAACTTCACCGTGATAAAGTTGACCTGAAATGCTTGGAAAACTGAGTTGATACCTTTTACTCACTCTAAAGAGAACTAAATCACAGTATTTAAACATCCTTCTCTAACTTTCATGATTCTTTTTAAAAGCTCCGTTAACACACACATTTTCTTCTGACATCGTGAACTTTCCTAAACATTCTCATCTTTTTGTGATGCCATACAGATTGTATCTGCCCAGTCCCCGTCCCAGGTTGCGTCCTAGGATAAGGTTAACAAGTGATGTCACAGGGGGATGATACCAAGAAATATGCAAAGGATTGCAGTGGAGGAATGAGTTGTCATTCCAAGGTGATAGAGCAATTCATGATGTCATAAAATGTGCAGCCAGGCAACCTTCAAGAATGGAGGGGAAGATTGTTGGTACAGTTCATGATATCATAAGGAGAGGGGTGAAACTTGATGCTTAAAGGGGTGGGCAAACTCTGAAATCACCAGAGGGTGGTCAAAAATAGTACTTCACAAGAAGAGAGGGGTTGAGTCCATATTTAGGAATTCAGTCATGTCAGAAGGGGATGGAACAGTCCTTCATTCCTTCAAGTATGATATCACACTAAAGTAGGAAAGTTTTAGGACAAAGATCACAAACTAGTGCCCAGGGGTAGAATCAGGCCCATAGACGTGTTTTGTCGGCCTGCATACAGGGTTGGCTTTTTTATAGTTGCCAATTTGGGAGTTTCCATAATAAAAATCAGAATTTCTGGCTTCTCTTGAAAATGTTGGAATTCTGACATCCATTAGCCTGCATTCCTACATGGCAGCCTCTGGCTGGAGCAAGGTAACAGCTTCCCTCTTTGGACAAGGCAGATACTCTTAGTTTACCACCGTCCCCATGTAGCCTACTTCACTCTTTATCCACCTGACTCTTATAGGCATTTAAGTTAGTGACACTGGTTTGGGGAATTCCATATAACACAGAGGTGAGTCAATGTCGAAGAAACATGTCAAAGGAGGGGAAGGTAATCTATGACATAAGAAGATATGCATACTTTGGAAAATCCATTGATAAGGATGGAAGCAACAGGATATTTATATGCTGCCATTTTAATCCTAAGAACATTCCTTCTGATCCTGCCAATTTGACCTCAAAGCATTTTGCCCCCATTATGTAGTTGAGAGTTTTGATTTCCTAATCAAGGAATTAAATTGGATTTAATTTAATTCATAAGATACTTTCCAAATAAATTCACTAATATTGGTGTAATTCTTATTATATGTTTATAAATATCCTTGGTGTCAAACATCCTTGGGTCAGGTTTAGAACAAATCCCATTATCCCCAAGTGGTATAAACCATTATGTCTCCAAAGGATAAGATATTCTATTAACATCACCAACTATTTGTCTTTGAAGCATCCTATTCTCCTTACTGCCTGCATGCTTTGGCTTTAGACTGCTTCTGTTTTTTGACTATGTTTCTCTCTCACGATGCTTCTAGAGATTCTTCAAAGAAGAGTGGAAAAATCACTTCCCCTAACCACACCCTGCTAGCATTAAGAACTCCTCCATTAGGCTCTCATAGAATTTTGAAGATACCTTTATTAAAGAATTTATATCTTTATGATAGAGCTGCAGTAAGTTTTTAAAAAATTTATTAATCACCTTTGGTAGAATTAGAGACTGTGAGTTACTTAAAGTATTTTCATGTCTCTAGGCCCTGGTAATCTGAAGACATTTAATAAATATTTGTTGAATAAATGGTCATAAGTAGGTATAGATATCTACTAGGTCAAAAGGTTATGGGGTGGGGCCATGATGGGACATGCTATTATGTAATAAAAAGTTGCCATAAGGGGATGAAGCAGAATATGAGGTCATGAGAAAAATCTATGAGAATGTATCAGATGACTAGTCTGGAAGTGTTGACTACAACAGGAAGAGGAGCTGGACTCTGCATTTAGGCCACTAGGGTGATGCAAGCCTCTTGGAAATCTTCCCATGTCCAGATAAGCATTAATACCTACCCGAGTGCCTGGAACCTAGAAGGCCAACAATAAATACTTGTTGAATAAATAATGAGTGAGTGAGTCTGGAAATGAGCTATCATATTCCGGGCTCTGGGCCATCCCTAAACCAGACTTTGGTTCTAATCTGGGTTAGTCAGGAGTGATTTGGTTTCTGTGTCAAGCTGGACTGGCACATAACGATGTTATGAGTTGGGCTGATCTCTTAATTGAGGACAACATGCTTGTCTATCTATGTCACTACCACTCTGGGTACCACATTGTATTGAGATGGTACTTTGGGATACTGACTGGATTGTAAGCTGATTTCTGAACTGATATGCTTGGACTGGTCAGCAAGTCTGATCTTAGATATGGGTTCCAGTTTGGGCTATGAATTAGTTTGGCATTTTCCTTGGCTATGGAATTAGCCCTTAACTGAAATCATGAACTAGGTCAAACCACAGAGTATGGTCAAAATTAAAGAATAAAAGAGCTAACCCAAGTAACTTCTGAACACAATGTTTTGGCATATATATACTTAGGCTAAAGACCAAAAGAATTATGAGCATGTGGCCAACCAGGTGGCACAGCAGTTAAGTTCGCACGTTCCGCTTCTCAGCGGCCCAGGGTTCACCGGTTCGGATTCCAGGTGCGGACATGGCACTGCTTGGCAAAAGCCATGCTGTGGTAGGCATCCCACGTATAAAGTAGAGGAGGATGAGCATGGATGTTAGCTCAGGGCCAGTCTTCCTCAGCGAAAAGAGGAGGATTGGCAGTAGTTAGCTGAGGGCTAAACTTCCTCAAAAAAAAAAAAAAAAAAGACATTGCCAATGAATTTTGTTCACCACTGGGCCTCCATTTCCTCATAGGGATGAGCACACCCATATATCTTGCAGCCAGTAAAACGTATACGGCAGTCCTATATGTAATAACCTCCAATATATATTGTTAAATCAACAAAGAAACAGAAAAGTATGTATGATATATTCTATTCGTGAACACACACACACACAGATAATCCATCCAACATCTTAGTTTCTCAGTTCCTTAATTCCTTGAATTATAATTATCTTGTATGAGCATGGCTGGAGAAAAACATACAATCATGCTAAATTAATCTGACTTTAAATTTCTGACCTCAGTCCTCAAGTGGGCCCTCAGTGGTACCCAGAAACCCTGCTAAATTCCCTGGACAATTTACTCTCCTCCCCTAACATCATTTAACTCCTCCTCCTTCTCAAACTTCTAAGACCCTTTTCCCACTCTCACTCTCCGCTAATGACATTGCTTTTTATTTCACTGAGAAAACTGGAGGAACCAAAAAGAATTTCCACCTCCTCTCACCAATGTAATCTACTCACTGGCCTACATCTCTCTCTACCTATGTGCTTTATTGTCCCCATTAACAGTGAGTGCTTCATCCAAGCTCCCATGTAAGGCCAACTCTTCCATTTGTGATAGCTCTCACCCCCTCTCACCTAACTGGTTGGATTTCAGACCCATTAAATGGAATTTGAGATCCAGTAAATTCAAGAAACTGAGAATTATGAGAAAGTACATACTATAAATTAAGGGAACTATGAATTGACTCCCAAGTATAAGACAGGGGTAGAGGTCCCCAAGAATTTTCACAAGGAAATCAACTGGGCTAAGAATCAGGAGGTGTTAGTGGTTTTAGTAATGGCTATGCCGCCAGCTGTATGAATTTGGGCAAGTTACTTAGATTCACGGACTTGGGAGTGGTGTGGGGAGCCACAGACAAGGCCAGCAAAACTACCTTTTGACCCTTTGATCCTTCCTATAACTACTCTCTGAATTAGTTAGGGTTCTCACTTACAAGCAACAGAAATCAACTGAGCTAAGCAGAAAATAACTTTATTAAAAGGATATTTGTGGTTCACAGAAACTCTAGGAGGACTGGGAACCCAGGATTGGTGGTTCTGTAGCCAGGAACAAAGCCCAAAAGCACACCCTAGAGCTGAGCTGGTGAAGACGCCACAGTGGCCACTAGGCCCAAACACTGTAGCTCGTGTCAGGGATCCCCCAACCTGACACTGGATGCCTGCCTCGGGATCCACTGCCACTGCTACTCTGGGAACTGGATGGAGCTGAGGGGACTGCAGCCGCCTTACTAGAAGAGATTCCACACAGCCCCTGCTTCTTTACGTCTGTAACTTCACACCCACCATCGTTTTCTGAGGAACCTGCCTCACCCAGCCCGCTACTGAGGGAACGTGTGGGAGTCAAGCTATTCTATAAACAGAGGTGGCTACTGGTTGGACTAGCCATGGGACCTGATTCGAGAACCACAAACCCACAGACTGGCCTGTGAGAATGAGATTGCTCAGCCGTCAAAGCTCTGACCAATCGGCATAATGAAAGCTATTTGAATCAATTTGGCTCTACTTCTGAAATCTGAAATTTGAGAAAATATTGAAAGACTCACTGGTTGGCAGCAGGGGGAGATATGAGAAGACACACGAGGAGAAACAGAGATAAGAGAGATGAAAAACTCCCATTAATAATGGGATAATAAATGACAAGGGATAGTGAAATAACCTGAGCCCCAGGCTAGCCTTGCATTCTGAAGGATGACTGCTCTGAGATTTCTGTGAAATTCTCTTTCCCTCAGTGCTACATGTATCCTGCTTGAGTGATGACTACAAAATTATTAATATATTTATTAATTAATGTATTTAACTAATTAATGTAATAAATAATGTCTTTATTAATGTAATGATTTATGTACTTATAACACATATTAAGTGTTATATAAATGTTACGTAAAGATATATGAATAATCTTGCTGCCTAGTGTATTCATTTTCAAGTAATGTGTTCAGGTACACTAAGGCTAAGTGTATAATAATGTTAAAACTTTCTCAAAAGAAGAGTGAGGAAGGACAGGATATATCTACAAAAAATGGAATGGGTTTACTTTTTTTCACCACCACCCCATCTACATCCCCTAGTTGTTTGGAACTTTTGTTGAGGTTGCCTGACATCCCTACTCATGTGCCTGTGCAGAGGACAGACTCGTCCGGGTTCCATTGTAAGATCTCCTTCCATAGCCTGCCTTGTCCTCCTGAGAGTGCCCTTCCTTTCGGTTCCCCTCCCTAAGGCTGCAGTTCTGTTCCTTTGCCCCAGCCCTGCTCCATGGCCCTGCCCAGTGGGAAGATCTCCTGGCTGCAGAATGCCTGCCTTGGCTAACCATACAGATGGACCAGGCATGGCCTCTGCCTTGTGAGTGACTCTGCCCTTAGGTCACTCACAAACCAAGAGGATCAGTACTGTGTAATCTTGAAACTAGCCATTTTGACTATATAAGAGAACTTGACCTGCTTTCATGTGGTTCTCTAGCATAATTTACATCCACACCTTTGACCATAATCAGTCAGTTATGATTTATATTGAGCCATCCAGAAATAGAACCACTTCCTTAGAGGAAATTACGTTAGAACAACGTCTCCTGTGGTTTACTTTGATGCATTCTCATTTTGACAACAGGAAATTTCGTCCCTGGAAAGAATTTTAAGTTGCATGATATTGTAGAAAGTGTTCCTAGCTAGAAGTCAGGCCTCCTGGAGTTTGATCCTAGCTCTGCCCCTATAACACTGGGAGTGAGTTGTTTCACCTCTCTGGGTCTCCAATTACTAAGACATTCAGTGGCATGGGAAATGGCAAATACTTTTTCATGCTCTCGCAATCAAAAGGAGACTTCTACTGAATCAATGGAACGTTGGGACTGGATACCAACTAGTGTAACCCTCATTTTACAGAGAAGAAAATGAAGCTAATAGTGATAAAGTGGTTTATCAAAGTCAGACTATACAATGAGATCAAAGTCAAGACTACGTGATGAAGGCCTGTGCTCTGTTGTTTGCCAGACCCCACACCATTGTGTGCCAACTGGTTATGATGGAGCGGCAGACAACCTTATGCTTAATACAGTTTTCTTCCTTTATTTAGACAATTCCCTTTGAAAGAAAGTCTTTGCATTTGTTGTGATTTACTTTGAGAGATTACAAGTTTTCGTCTTATGTTGTTGGTTGTAATAATTAAAACTTTGAACGGCTTTAAACATTATTTGTGGGATGCAAAAAAATTAAGTAAAACTTTCTGAAAGATGAAAATGTTCCAGTTTTGTAACTGAATAAGACGCTTAGCATGCAGAAGAAGGGGGGTATTAAAGTGGCTTTTTTTGGATATAAGAATTATAACAGGATTTCCCTTGTGAGAAAAAAAACACAGGGACAAGTTTTTAAGATTTGAAGGTCTTTGATAATTAACACAGTGATAATTAATTTTCCTCTCATATGTTGTACTTTATTCTTGTATAACAACATTCATCTAAAGATTATAGATGAATTTTAATCTTGTCTATAATTGTTTTATATAATCCACTTATATTAACGTCTTTCTCTCAGTTCTCAGAGGAGCAAACCAAACTTCTCAGAAATAAAATGCCCTCAAAAGCTCTGCATTGCCTGTCCCTTATTTCAGCAAACTCAAGTCTGAATATGGCTTGTAAGTGGCCTCTGATTCAAATTTAGCCTTGCCTGTAACAGGAGTGATGATACCATCGTGCTAGCCACCAGTTCAGGGTCTACCAGATGAGCTGAGGTCTCCTAGCTCCAAAGCAGTCATCACCATCTCTTCACCACCCTCCTGGGTTCTCTTCGCACTTACCCAGCCAGTTTTGCTCCAGCTTCCCTTGCTTTGCCTTTGGGCTTCTCCTAGGACCTGTGTTTAACACGCTTTTTTTTCTTGCAGCGTCAGTCTGCCTCAGACAGGATAACTGGCTAAAGCGGCCATTTAGCCAGTGCCCCTGCTGGATCTGCCCTGGACTAGAAAGAGGGAGATTTAGACACCCATTATTGCCCCTGTCTAGGTATAAAAGAACAAAACAAAGGAAATAAGTCAAAAGTTTGCCCCTAGATGTAGAGTGCTTGGGCAAGAAGCCTCAGGTTCTGAATTGGAAACTTACGGCCCCCAAAGGAAAGAGGATGATAAATATTATTGATGACTCCTTGTTGAAAGCAGAGGCGTAACTGGAAGCCGTAGTGTGGGCCTTTTGTTAGTCAAAGTGTGGTCTAGGGACCAGCAGAATCAGCGTCACCTGGGAGCATCTCAGGCCCCACCCCTGACCTAAAGAATCCGAATCTGCATTTTAATAAGACCTCCAGGAGATTTGTGGGCACACTGTCTAAGGTAAGTCTGCCTTGCTCTGTCCTTTCTTATGAAAGGCCTCAGGCTACCCGAAATGCACAGGAGCCAAATGCTGATCTAGTCATCACAGAGGGATGTCACTGCCACGGGACTTACATACGGGAAGGCTGAATGCCGGCTCATTTCTCCCTGTGGGCAAACTTAACCCAGGAGGCTAGATCTTCATCAGGTTACCAGGTGTACCTGGAATGTTCACTCTCCCTCCTAAATGATCCAGTCTTTCTCTGGATACATTATTGCCAGGCTGAGAAGCCTTCGGTCTCCTTCCTCATCTTCTGAAAAGCAATCTTACTTTCCTCATTTTCTCAAGCGTGGGGGACATCTCCTAGTAACTCCCAAATAATTTTGATAATCATAAGTCAGTCAGATGATCTCATTTAATCCTTAGAACAGCCCTATGCAATAGGTACTATTCTCATTTTACAAATGCAGAACCCGAGACTCAGAGATGTTAAGTAGCGTGTCCAAGGTCATACATCGAGTAGTAAGGGATCAGTTCTTGCTGGCTCCAAAGCCTGTGGTTTTAGGTCCTGCAATATACACACCACCTCTTCATCCTTTTCCTTAGGCAAGCTCCAAAGCTGCTTTACAGACGTATGACTGACTTGTTTTCCTGCTCCTTTGTGTGGTTCATAGATCATGTGTCAACCTCATCATCATTATGACTACTATCATTTTCATCATCATCAATTAACATTTGTTGAAAGCTTTTATAGTGCTGGGCGGTATAATTTTAATTCCCTACATGCAGTTGCTGCCTGTATACTCTTCCTTTTAAATAATCACATTGCTAGGAATATAGTATTTCCTTTTAAAAGTGTGACAAACTATAAGCAGGTGCTGAGGTATTTGTTTTAGTGCTGGAAGCTGGAGAAAAACCATTTGCTCAGTTATTCACCATGCACAAAATCTGAACAATTGATACCCTGCTTTCACACTTCATGCTTGATGACTTCAAAGATCAAGATCAATCCTTTCAATCAGAGGAAAAACAAATCCAAAGGAACTTAATCTGTGCTCTATTGCTCCCCAGTGTTGAATGCTTATGCTTTTATTCTATTCTGATTTCCTGTTAAATTTTAAAATGCTACGATTTATTATTGAAATTTAGAGTTTTGATACCTAACCTTCAGATCATGGATATTTGTATCAGTCAATAAATGGCAATGAAATGGAAGTCAGTCTTATATTTGAATTTTGGTTGTTACACTTACCAGCTGGGTCACTTTGGGAATGTTGCTTAACTTCACTGAGCCTCAGTTAATCTACCTATTAGAAGAGGTTAATAAACTCTTAAAAGACTTCTTATCTTTTAGAGATACCTACTGAATGAAATGATATGATGGCTGGGATTTGCTTCAAAATAATCCAAGTGTAAGGGGAAAGTGGGTGGGTATATAGTTGAAACAAGACGGGCCATGTGTTGATAGTTGTCGAAGCAGGGTGATGGGTGCCCAGAAATTATATTATTCTCTCTACTTTAGTATACGTTTGAAATTTTTTGATTAAAAGTATGAAAAAAAAAGCCCTAATGGGTCTTTGTGAATATTACAAAATATATGTGAAAGTTCTTTAGTCTGGAATAATAGCAACCAAGCACTTGCTGTGTCCCAGATGCTGTTCAGAACACTTTGCATACATTAGGTCATTGATTATCACAACAGTTGCATGAATTGGGTATTGTTATTACCCCCATTTTAGAGATGAGAAAAATGTGACACAGAGAATCTAAGCAACTGACCCAAGGTCATGCAGCTAGTAAGTACCAAAGCCAGGATTCAAACCCTAGCTGGCCACCAGAGCTCATGCCACATTGCTTCTCATCTGTTAAGCTTTTGAGTAATAGCCAATAATAACAACCATTGTTTGTGTTCCAAACACATTAGTATCATCCTAAGTGCCTCCTCTACATTATCTCTAATTTGTTCATCTTTTTCCTTTTATTCCTTTTGCACACTCTTTACAAGTATCTGTCTGAAGAGTTGGAGAAACAAAATAATCCCCTTGAAGCCAATAGTTAACAGTTAAGGAGTATTGGTACAAAACTAAATCAGGAATATGTATATTTCCCACAGGGGAAAAGATCAGTACGGCTTGAAGGGATAAGAAAAACCCTTTTGGACCTGGAGCTTCAGATCCCACAGACTCTCTTTGAGAAGCTGAATAGGTCTCTGGACCTTCTCCCCAGAGAAAGCACACATAGACATACACAAATTCCTACATTCTATTGCAAGAGGCTTTTGAGTCCCCTGAAAGCCATCTACAAAACCCTGGGCTAAGTAAGAGGATAGAGAATGTTCTGGGCAGAGGTCACAGGACTATTAGCAGCAGAAAGGTGAGGGGAGCTCCCTGCTGGATGGCCTAGTGCATGTAAGGGGACAGGGCCACCGGATGGGAGAGACAGAATGACAACCAGTCTATGGAGGGCACAGGAGAGGACACTGGGCTTACACTTTGATCCCACCCCTGGGAATTTATCTCAAGGGAAAATTCATATAATCATTATTTACAACACTGACATATCTACATAAAATAATACTAATATTAATAATATTACATATTATACACATAACATATAATAATATATAACAAAATACTATATATGTAATATAGTAATATATAATATAATAATGATATAAATAATACCATCTAACATAGTAAATAAGAAAAAAACCTGAAAACAATCTACATTTCAATAATAGGAAAATGTTAAATATTCGGGTGCTTCAAATTGTTAGAATAGTATACAGCCATTAAACATAGTAATTGTAAAGCCTTTGCATAAACAAGTGTCTAGAAAAATTGGCCAAGATTTGAAAATAGAAGAGATTACTGGTGTCCTTTGAGTAGAACGCTAAGCATTGTCTAGCAGACCAACTGGGGATAATTCAATGCTGTAGGAATGTACACCTTGGATTGTTTTTCTACAGACTAGGCTATTTTACAGTTTTTTGGGGAAGTTAAATTGTAGCAAACTGATGGTAATACAAAAGATTTTTGTCCACAGAAATACATGTGAATTTTGTCTGATAAAAATATAATTAATTTCCACTCTGCAAAAGGATGACCCAAAACATTACATTTTATTGTCCTATAAGATATTAATCAGATTTGTATGTCTTAGCAAATTCATTTCAGCATTCCTAATTGTCTATCTATCTATCTATCTTGGTTTTTTTTTTTTGAGGAAGATTAGCCCTGAGGTAACATCTGCTGCCAATCCTCCTCTTTTTGCTGAGGAAGACTGGCCCTGAGTTAACATCCATGCCCATCTTCCTCTATACATGGGATACCTGCTACAGCACGGCTTGACAAGCTGTGCATAGGTCCACACCCGAGATCTGAACCAGCAAACCCCAGGCTGCTGAAGCAGAACGTGCAAACTTAACCACTGTGCCACGGGGCTGGCCCCTGTCTGCCTTTCTCAGTTTTTTATCCTTCAAATTCTCATTTGAGTTAGTCTTAATATCTTAATGATTCCTTTATCAATTAACTGGTTGAATAAAACCAGTTAGCACCTGTATTAGTTATCCATTGCTTCATAACAACCCCAAAACTTAATGGCTAAAACATCAAACATCTTTTTTTAAACATAGCTTTTTATTTATTTTTATTTTTTAATTTTTTTTCTGCTTTATTTCCCTAAATCCCCCCAGTACATAGTTGTATATCTTAGTTTCAGGTCCTTCTAGTTGTGGCATGTGGGACACTGCCTGAACCTGGCCTGACGAATGGTGCCATGTCCGCACCCAGGATCCAAACTGGCGAAACCCTGGGCCGCCGCAGCGGAGCGACGAACTTAACCACTCGGCCACGGGGCCGGCCCCAACAGCAAACATTTATTCTGTCACAATTTCTGTGTGTCAGGAATCAGTGAGTAGCTTAGCAGGGTGGTTCTGGGTCAGGGACTCTTATGAGGCTGCAGTCTTCTCAAGGCTCAACCGAGGAAGGATCTGTTTCTAAGCTCACTCACATGGGCCTCTTCACAGGGTTGTCTCATGACATGGCAGCAGGCTTCTCCTAGAAGTGAGCAATTTGAGAGAGAGAGAGAGAACACACCATGTGAAAGCCACAGTCTTTTTATAACCTAATATCAAATGTGACATCATCATTTCTACCATATTGTGTTCCTTATGAAGGGGCCCAACATAAAAATTATTTTGAGCTGAAGGCATTTGAGAATGAACAGATACTGGAAGAGACTTTTTTTACCCCTGAACTCCCCTTATCTGTCTAAAAGCAGAGCCTCCCAAAAGAACTGAATTGTCG